TGTCTAATCATGAAATTTGTGTTAAAATGAGATGTTTCCCATTTTTCTATGTGCTTCAAAAGCCGAGTTATCACTCTGACAGAATAAATCCTTTATTCTTTAGTTTCTTTAGACCAACAGCTTTTCAGACTGTTTCATGAACTTTTAAGAGTTAAATTTATCGACTATGAATCATAACTTAACTCTAGGTAACAGAAATAGTTTAGAATTGTTTGGTTTACATTGTAGATGTTTATTTAGTATTTTTAACCATTAGGTGGTTATAATATCATTGAATAATCTGAATGTGAGTATTTAGAATCCATTATTAATCACGATGAAGTTCATTCATATGTGTTTACTCTTTTGTTGTTCACAGTTTCCATGTGTTACTATCTGTTTCATTTCAGAGTAATTTAGCATGTTCAATGTGATACCTAAAACATAATGAGAATGTTTGATGTGATCCTACACTTCATTCATATGTGTTTAGTGTCAAATTATTTATCATGAAACCAAGCATTCAATGATATTAATCATAGTGAGTGAGTATCAGATCTGACTCTTTTACCAGCCAAAAGTATAAGTTAGATCAAATAATCAGAGATCCGAGTTCATCTCTGCTTGGAGACCACACGACCCCTCCTCCTCTTTCTCCTCACACACACACCCCGGAAACACTCCCAGTGTGAGAAGATAAAACCAGTGAAGTGGGGTTGCTCACGCTCTTATGTTTTCTTCCTCTTCTGCTGACTCTCTTGTGTGCTGACTCTTCTCCCCTTTTTCTCTTCTGCCCACACCCTTCTGTGGTGCGTTTCTTTGTTTTCTCTTAGAACTTTTATTAGTCTACTAAGTTTTACGCCACGTGTTGATTCACGTTGATTTTTCTTTAACATCGTCTTAAATCAAGTTTTGCAACTTCAACTTTTTGTGCACATAGCAATTCAAGATTAAGCCTTTGATTGATTTTTCTTTAATTTCGCGAAGCCATTTTTGAACGTTTCTCTGCGTGATTTCAAAGTCACCTCTGAACGCAACCCAGCAGGCCCAGGTCATCCTCTGTGCCAGAGGTTTTTTTGAGTGAGACCAAGGAAGGGACCAAGCAAGCATCCACAGGATCCACAGGCGCCGGCTTTACTTCAGGCCTGAGTGCTACAACTCCAGGCCCATCCTTCGGCTGACTTCAGTCGTCTTCTGAGCTGAACCGCTCGAACTGCCGGTAGCCTGGACCTTCGGAACCTGCTCCACCTTCTCCAAGGACCAGTCTCACTTAAGTATGCAAACCTCCAGAGTTCCAAAGAGGGCTGGTGCTGTCTCAGGCGTTCATAGCTCAGATATCCTCTTATTCTGGTAATCTTAGATTCCTCCAAATCCACATCCGAGTTTATCTCGACACCAAAGTTAGTGTAGGTTAATATGTTAGCGCATATTCACTCACTATCATTAACTTTAGTGCTCCTAGCCTGACTCAGAATCTTTATTTATTCACCTATTATTATTTATCTTCATTATCTTATCATTTATTGCATGTATGTTGTACCATCATTTATCCTGTAATAAACAGATCATTATTTTTCTAAGTTCCTGTCTGTTAGTGTTCTTCCAGAAGTGGAGTCCCTGAAATTAGAATTTCGACTGAAGATATGAGACTGATTAATTAAAACTGACTTGATGTTTGATTTCTGAATTAAACTTTTGTTTTCTTTATTTTCCCACCATTAAGGGTGGGTGGTGCCCCTTTCAACGAGTGCATAAATGTCATAATTTGAGATTATTAATCTTCAGACATTTATTATAAATCCTAATCGCTACAGTATTATTTTGGTGCGGCCTTGTGAGGCTCATTTCAAATCGCTACAGTGGGCTGGCTCACCCCAGAACGGTCCGCCATCTCCCGCTGGAAGGAGCCTGTGGCCAAGAAGCCGAGTGTGCCCAGCACCAGCGTTGGCACGGGCACCGCTCGGCTTCTGGCCGTTGTGCGCTGGAGCGCCCGGCTGAACTCCTCACACAGCTCCAGGAGGATGGCCCGCAGTAGCCGGAACCGGCTCACGAGCCACTCGTCAGAGTTCTGGAGCAGGTCCTCCCGCTCCATAAAGTGACGCTCGCGTCGGATGGCACGTTTTTCAATGCCTTCTATGAGAGCAAGTGCTGCCATTGTTGAATGTTGTCTTCTCTATTTGTAGTTGTATGAGTTCTTTTATAGCCCCTCCAGTAATACCGACAGGTGTTCGTGTTTGAGTTAATGTGTTACACATTAACACAAACACGAACACCTGTCGGATTAACAGTTAATCCACTGCAATGTGTGAACGCTTGTCACATAGTGAGTCACTAAACACCGCCACACAGCGTCGCCAAAGTGCCGTCAACGCAAGTATCTGCTCAACGCCAGCTTCTACACCACCTCCTCACTTTGCGTTGATTAGCGCTGGAACCGACGCTCGTGTTGCGATGATAAATCTGGACGTGTGCGCCGATCTTGGCAGACGCAAGGTTTTCTGGCGCGGCCAGCGTTGATACATGAGGCCCCTGGTCTCTTTAAACTTTTTAAATGTAGTTTAAAGGCCCTAGAGGAAGATGAAGCAGGCTGTAAGTGCCTAGACTAAAAATGTTCTGCTCTGCGACTTCGACTTAGCTGGTCGTTATGTCTTTATATGTCTGTAGTTGTTTATGTCTGTAACTTTGTAAAAGTGCTGCTGCCTGTCTTGGCCAGGACACTCTTGCAAATTAGATTTTTAATCTCAATGAGTTTTTTTTGTTTTTTTTTGGTTAAAGTTTCATTCATTCAATCACTCTTGGAAGCATCTATGAGTGCAGTGAAAATTTTAATCCAGAGGATCTGCAAAAGCCAACCCAAACCAGTGGACGAACTCGTGTTAAACATGGAGCAGTGCCTTAAAGATTCCACTGGAATGACTGGGGTAGTTATCACATGACAATGTTAATCCTAGCCATTACAGTTGTCTCCCTGTCTCTCTGCTCTTTAGTAAACAGAAAATGCATTTTCATACTCGGTAATGGCTCCTTTAATTCAATACTGCTGTGGACACCCTGAAATTTTAAGATGAGTACTCTCAAATGAGTACTCTCTCATGATTTTCTGAAAGTGGCAACTTACCTGCAACCGTGTTTTCTGTTTATTAGGGAGCTGTAGAGATGAGGAAACCCCTGGTACTGAACAGCAGTTATATCAGAAAATTTTATTTACCCATGAAGCTGGTGAAATGTAATTCTGTAGGCAAATAAAGCTTTTCTGATTTTGTGTTTTATTTTTGTTCAATGAAGAACTTGTAGCCTTTGTCCTGTTTGGAATGTGGTGTATGTAAAAACTCAGCCACAATTCTTTCAACATCATTGAACTGTATTTGTGGCAGATGGGCAAGGGACTTTGTGAATTCCATACCCTGAAAAGAGCAAGAACAATACATGGAAATGGTTTAAATTAGGAGCTTTGATCAGGAGTCAGTATAGTAAGTTGTGACACATTAGGGGAAAAATTAATAATTAAATATATTTTAATTTTGGGTCTGAGAGGCTAAATCTCATCACATGGTTGTCTGTGACTCAAATGCCAAATAAATGATGGGCCTTGATATGACAAAGATTCAAAGCCACTTACACAGAAATGTAAACAGCATGAGGTACAGTCACACATTTAAGCTAAAATTATAACACAAAAAAATCCTGGGGACTTCTTTTTTATTGTGGTCCTAAATAAACAACAATGATTACTGTGAATGATTCTATCACTATCCTATTAATCTTCTATTCGATCATTATTCTAACAAAATAATTACAATAAAAAAAATAAGCCTGTGATACACACGGGCAGACACTAGCAGCAGCATCACTTGGTTTTATTTCCAAATGACAAATTATAAAAGACGGATAACGTTGTAAAAAAAAAAAAAATACAGTAAAACAGAAAGAAGTATTAATGTTAGGTTTACCTTTCGAATATAAATAACGTTTGTTGGTTATGGAGCAGTGCATATGATCTCTATGCTAGAAATCCAGTTGATACCCTGCAATTGCAATCTGGAAGTTGAGTGACATCAGTGTGAATTCCTGAGAAATACAGTAGCTCAAGCCTTAGGTCCAATTTGAATTTTTTTTAAGTGTGCTCTTGAAGCATACAAAGTCTCCTCAAAATAACATAGACTGTATATAAGATGGACAACATGGTTCCGCCTTCCTCCTGTATACGGATTTGAAACCAAAAAGCTCTCGGTAATTCCGGGTTTTTCTCCACTTCCTTGAAACCAGAGCTGCGCAGTAGCGCTGCGCACATTCGGCCACGCAGTCGCCGAGAGTCCCTTTGATGACGCTCGGCTCAAACAGCGTAGCCCCCCGGTAGAGCTACGCAATCCCTGAACGCCCATAGGCTGTACCAGGTGTCAATCATAGAAAACATGAGCCCCCTAATAACTTTTAAAAACGGAGCTGTACAAGAAAAAAAGGACTTGAGCACAAACCAGTCTTACAATAACTACATGTCAACATCACAAGCAGGGGGGAGAAAAATTTATGTTCTGTGTAATAAATTTCTAAAGTTTGTCCACAGCTCCATAAGCTTTGCTGGCGGAGGCGGGATTTATGACCTGTACTGCAGCCCATCAACAGAGGGTGCTGTTCTCGGAGTGGCTTCACCCAAGCAAGGAGGCAGACTCTGTCCATCTTATATACAGTCTATGCAAAATAAAGGCATTACAACCATTTACTGTAATTATCCCAATACATGCACACTTGAAGTTCAAGTCTGCCGACAATGTTCAGCCAAATCACATATTTGTACAGATTTTTTTTTTTCAGTTCAACTTTCCCCAAAGTTGACTAAAAGGTGATATTGAGAGATCTAACTAAATACATTTGTAAAGAGCCAGGCAAACTCTCTGGATAGGTTTGTCACTAAAGCCTCTTACCTGTCCGTTGGCCATCAAAACATGGACCCAAAATAATGAAGCCCTACCTTTCCTTTTAAGTGTTTCATTTTCAGCAGCACTAATATGGACAAGCAGCAGTGCTTTTGGTTTTATAGAAAATTTTATTCAACATACATTTTCCAGCAAAAAGGCAATATACAGGAATAGTTGTCGTACACTGCTGCTACACTGAGGATTTTAAACTGGAAAAGATCAAATTAAGGTGTGATTCTGTCATTTTTGTACTGCACTTTTAACAAGACAAAACCAATGCAGTTAGTTTTGAAAGAAAAAATCCAAATGTAACAGAACAAAAGTCGTCAATGGTACATCAGGAACGCAAAGAAAAAGAGAGAAAACCCTACTCACAAGAAATATGAACACCTGGCTCAATCTGTACCCAACAACAAAGGCGTGTGTTTCTCTTAAATTTTACACGTTCATATTTTTAAATATACAATTCTTAAATGTTGTCTTTACAGAGCCAGCTATGCGCTATTAGGGGAGCATTCCATCTGTGCTTTAAAAAAACAAAACAAAACAAAACAAAAATAAAAGATTCATAGGGCTTTAAGTGTTTCATACAATGCTGGTTTTGTCTCTACACGATCCTTAAACCCATGGGCTCAAAGTGTCAGCAGCTCCCTACCAAGCACAGCACAGTTACTGCTTCAAACCACCTGGAGGTGACAGTTCCGATCAAGAGAAGATGTGAGGTTCTCCATTAGTTATGTTTGTGGTCAGAGGAGGAATGACTGAGAAAGAAATTAAAACCCCCTGGAAAAACAAAAAAAAATGGAAGAAAAAGTCACAGGGGTAATGTCCATGCATGTGTTCCTTTTAAGTCACAGCGCAACTCAAAGCCACAACCATACTGTACATTTGCCAGTCCTGAGAAACCTCCGACATTAAGTGCCTACGTGCAAGATGAAATACAGACAAATTTCCTCCTTTTTCCCCCCATTTATTTTAAACAGATGCTGTGGATTTTTGTCATTGTACAAGATCTGCAGAAGAGACAAAAAAATCATATTCCTTCAACCAAACTAAGTCAGAAAGAGTGTGTAAACTTGGAAATACTTGCTTTGTTGCACTAAAAGAATGGTAGCAGGATACATTTTAAAGAACCACATCAGGGCAACTCAAGGAGCATCAATGATGGGTGATAGTTTGCAGCTGATTTTGCAAAATAATGACCATCAGCCCTCCCTCTCTTTTTCTGTCAGTAAGTCCTTACAAACATCTGCCCATCACTTTCTCCACACAGCAGCATGGTGCCTCTGCAAAAAAAAAAAGTTACTTAAAACACCCACTGTGATGGGGGAAAAACCCCAGTGAGCAGGATGAGGGAAGGAAAAAAACTAAGTCTAGAGGTTCATATATATGTATATATATGTATAAATATATACATATATATACATATATTCTCTCTCTCTCACACACACACACACACACACATTTATACTGTGTTGCACTTCTTCTTGCCTCTGCTTATTTTCATATTAAAATCCGATTTTATTTCTTCCACTTCCAGACAGGCAGAAAAAAAAGAGGCAATCAACAGGGGGAAAAAAGCCGAGAATGTGGAGGGGGAAAATTACAAAAGAAAAAAAATTTAAAATAACCAAAATCAACAGTCAGGAGGTGGTTGGTGCAGTTTATTTTGTGGTTGAGGGGAAATCCATCAGCTGCAGCAAGATCCATTTCACTGAAGACATAGTGCCGATGTAGAGCTGAAGGGGTGTCCAGGCGGGGTGTTAAAAGTGATGAATACACACACACATGCACGCACGTGCGCGCACACACACACACACGCGCAAGTGCACACACGCAGCCTCTCTTACACAAACTCACACAGTTGGTTACAGTCTGTTGTTATGGTGTGTTAAAGTAGGTAGGGAGGAAGGCGGAGCTGGAGCAGGAGGCAGGAGGCAGGAGGCAGGAGAAGGAGTAGGAGAAGGAGGAGGACAAAGAGGAAGGGCGGGCAGCTTTTAGTTGTGGATCTTGATTGCTTTCTCCAGGTAGGTGTAGCGACCTCTCTTTGGAGCTTTGTTGAAATGATCCAACCCTAGCCAGGGGCGCGGGTGGGACATGTTACCTAGAGGGAGACACAGCAGTAAGGTCAATAATAGTACAAATCAATGAAACAGAGGCTACCAATCTGATGCAAAATGATATCAGACTTTCATGTGTGGATGTGGATCATTTTGCACCAATAACACCATGAAAAAGTAGTTTGAGGGCTATTTTAAGAATAGCTTCATTAAGGATTGCGTTGCAAAGTGACCCTCTGTTCCACGCACTGCAGAGATTGCTGAAGAAAAACTGGAATGGGGTACACTCTGCTGGACAAATTATGTGATTGCACTTTTTTCACCACTGAATGCATTTGTGTTGCTTTCATGAAGTTGAAATTGGGATCTATCTATTCAAGCACAATCACAAGTTGATATGATGCTGGAAGTCTCAGTTAAGTGTTTTCTGTCAGGGTGTAAGACAAATCTTCATTCAAGAAAAGAACTGTTCCTTGTCAACCTCATGAAACAGAAATCATGTAAACCAAAGAACCTTATCTCTCCGGTACTTTCTCATAAACTTTGTACATTAAATGTGGCATCCTACAAGGCTCAATTTTAGGGCCTCTATTGTTTTCAAATATTTTGACCATATTAACTTAACCTTGACTCTAAACTTTAAAATAGAGTTGGATAGGCTATTGTTGTCAGATTTAATCTCACTCTCATTTCTTCTTACTCAGCTTATTGTTGCCTAGAATTATTTTCCTTTCGTTAAAATTAATTACTTTCATAGTAATCCATATTTTATCACTGTTTTGGTTAAATCATTATAGTTGTTAGATTTGTTATCGCAACTTTATTACATTGACTATCATTGCATTTTGATGCATTATTACTTAGTGATATTAAGGGCTGTTCCCACTACCAGTTGCATTCTCCTTTTCAGTGTTGTTTTTTTGTACTAATAAAGTAAGCTATAACTCTAATAAAATCATGTTAAAATACTCTAGGTTAGAGCTTGTTATACTGTTACTGTTAATGAAACAACTGTCTCAGTAGCAGTGGTAGTATAAGCAGCACTCTCAACAGCAAAAGTAGTAAAAATGTACCTGGCTGTGGTTCGAAGTCCTTCAGGTTAACCTCATACTCGTCTTCAGTGATGTACTGATGCCGCCCCATCATCACAATCGCAAACTTGAACTGAAAAGAAATCACAAACACACACACACTTGGTACACCTGGGTACACTATTTAAGCCAAGGTTGTGAAGATTAATCTGAGAGTATTTTTGATTCACTTTTTAATGTTTTCTCAGCAAGTTAAGGATGCTGTACCTTCTCAAATTCTTTCTCCTGAATGTCCAGCATAGTCTGAATCCTCCTCATCACTTCCCGAAAAGACTCACCCTGAGTGGGTTATAAACATTCAAACACAGAGTATGAGTAATAGGCATGATAAGCTGTATGGGCTGCAAACTCTCATCACATGTGCAGTCAGACACACCTGTCTGATCTTGAGCAAGAAGGGAATCCCAAAGGTGCCAAAGACCTCCTTGTGGAAGTGAGCAACAGGGATTAGCATTTCGCTGTCTTTGTCCAAGTCCACTTGGTCCAAAGGAATCTCCTAAATGATAATGTGTCAGAAGAAAGATTCAGTCAAGTTCAGGGATGTTTAGAAGAGGTGCAACTCTACTCATCCTTGACGACGAGGACATGACAAGGACAGAATATAAAGAACACCTTTCAGTATGACACACTACAGAACACCAACATCCACGATGTCTTCAACAATATATCAAAGTACAATAATTAGCAGATGTTTGATCATGTCAACAAACTGATCATTTAGAAAATAGGAATAGGTTTGTATTACATGACTGCAAATCATTTGTAAGTGCTTTAATGGTAAAAAGAAAGAAAGGAAGTTATGTTTTACATATAATTTATCATTTATTTAAAATCTATTCATTTGGTTATTATCTGTTAAACATACTGTCAAGCAGCATAGTCCTGCAGAAAAAAAGAGAGAGAGACAGGTAGGTAGGTAGGTTAATAGAGAGAGAGAGAGAGAGAAATGGAAAAAGAGGAAAAGAGAGAGTGAGGGATGGTTAGGTTGATAGATGGATAGGAAGAGAAAGAAAGAGAGAGACATCAATTTTCAATTCATGAGCACTATGTTGTTGACCATCTTATTTGCTGGGGGCTAACATTGTGTCCCAGTGGACAGATGCAGAGAACTGCTAGAAACAGCTCCCATTGCTCAGTCACTACTAGTAATTTTAAACCAACTGACAGGGCTGAAACATCAGCTGCCATGGATAGTTTGAAATGAGAGGTATGGTCCCATTTCTCATCTTGTATCATCTCCTTTAAATCAAATCACTTATCTCCTTTTAAAATTTGCAAGGGTCACAGCTCACTCAACTCACCTCCTCAGGTCAGAAAATCTGAAAATGGGGATACTCCAGGAGAATCCAACCCCTTAAGTTATTATAGCAGGTTCGCTACAGGTTACGTTTGTTTTAAAACATGAACCTTTTACTTCAGTCTCTTAAAAATTTGGCATTTTAGAAACATTATGACTAATTCAGAACCACAATATTTAAAAACAGCTAGTACGAACTACTGTATTTCTCAGTATATGTGGCTCACACCAAGTATTAGCATTAGCGAGTTCCGTGTTGTCTTTTCTTTTCATTGCTGTGTCCAGAGATGGTACTGATTCCTCTCCACACTTCACAGATGTTGCTGTGTTGTAGATTCTTCTCTATCTTATTTTTGTACTCCAGCTTTGCCATCTTCAGTCTCCTCTTCAACTCGTGTTGCATTTGTTTGAGTCGTTCTTTGTCCCAAACTTTAAAAGCTTTCTTTTTCTGGTCAAGGATTGCTTTTATGTCACTTGTGATCCAGGGTTTGTTGTTGGGGAAACAGCGAACAGTCTTTGTGGGTATAACTGTGGCTGTGTCTCAATTCAGAGACTGCACCGTTGAACGGTGCATTTCAAGTGTGCGCGATGTCATCACGCGGCGCTAACAGTGTCCCATTTGGCTCGTAATTCTGAGCGCGCTTCAAATGCGGTCCCAAAACCACCCTGCCCCCCGCCCCTTTTTTCATGCGTGCATTTATGCACGCTTTCGTGGCCTTGGTATCCTAGAATTCTTTGCGTGCTGATGCACAGCTGTGCATTTTGGGTGAAAGGCCAGACTTACTTGGAGACACAGCGTGTCTTCAAAGAAAATAAAAGAAATCCAATAACACAAGACAGTCAGCTCAGGCTTCATAAGCGCATGATCTTTTAACTCACTAAAATCTGCGGCTGCAAACCAAACATGATACTTTATAGAGACGAACTGATCCGCTCTGCTACCACAATCAAAACCACTGGAAATAAGAAAGCTGACAAAACTGGTGGTAAGGCAGTGGCTCTGTAGGCTTCTTTGATGTTGGCATACGGCAGATCTGGGGTTTTGTTTTTTCTGGTAGGACGCTTCACAAACTGTGTGAATCCAGTCAGGTGAGAGGAGAGAGTGACATGGTTGAAGTCTCCTGATATTATTATTAGTGCCTCAGGGTGTTTTCTCTGAAAACGTGATTTTCGGTTTTTGATTCAGTGACATCTTTACCAAACTTCACTTTGATAAAAAATGTTTCTATCATCTCTCAAAATGAAACCACTGAAAATGATGCAGTGTATATGCCAAGCCAGTAAGTGGCGCTGTGATGCGGCTCAGGAAATGAACAAAAGAGAGAAGTCTACAGATCAAAAGTAAAAAGGTCGTTTTGGCTGGACACGTGCAGGTGCCATAAAAGAGTTATGCTGTGTGTCACATTATCGTTTCCAGAAGTACAGACAGACATCCACACAGAGATGAAATGGTGGTTGTTTACAGATTTATGCCCGTTTTCAATACCGTTTAGAGTCACCAGAAATGCCATTTCTGTGTGGATGAAACACTGATACGACAAAAAACTTTTGTGTTTACTCCTGAATTTGTTTCCGTGTGGACGGGTTGATACCGCCTTCAGACAGACTTTGCAGCGGGGACTGGTTTACTCGTAATCCAAAACTGCGAAGCCGTACCAATTTCACACGATTGATTTGCTCCTTCCCTGTTTGGCCACGAAATTATCGCCTTTTTTGCAAACGCCATGTTTGTCTACACTGGTGTGTGTGGAAACTGGGGAGAACTACGGTGGCCTGGAGGCATGACACAGAAGAAAATCAATTTGACCATTTTAGAATTAATTAAAATCGTCGTAATCAAACAATCCGATTACAATTTAAAATTGATTAATCGTGCAGCCCTATAGCAAATAAAGCCAGACCTCCTCCTTTCTTCTGGCCACTAGCTTTAGCATCTCTGTCTGATCTTTTGAAAGTGAAGCCAGGTAGATCTACACTGGAGTTTGAGTTGTTTTGATTCAACCAGGTTTCAGTAAAACCCAGGAAACTGCACTCAAAGTATGCTTTCTCAATCTTCACCATTATTTCCAGCTCGTCGCTCTGGCTGGGCAGAGACGTTTCCCATGATGACTGATAAAACATACGGTTTATATCTCCATTTTCTAGTCTTCAACTTTGCCTTCACCTGTGCACGAGCAGGGCAACCACAAAAACACCACCAGATGTCTGCTGGAGTTGGATGTAGTCGTCCAGATTTGCTTTGTCTCAATGAAAGGAGCTCTGCTCTTGTGTAAACTCCTCTCCGAGCAGAAATATCCATCAGCAGCCAACAAAACAAAAAAAAAAAAAAGAGCAAACAGCAGAAAATTCAGAGACCAGACTTTGCTGCCACCACTTGGGTTGTGAGCGCAGGTTCTGGAATGTTCTAGAAGTCAACTTAGATATCATGGTGCTGCTGTTAAGGGGTCCACTGCCTATATCTTAGTCTGATAAGCTTCTGTTGTGGATAGAGGTTTAAGATTGACTTGTGCTGTAGGGCTGCTCCAGACCCGACTTTCAGCAGAAAATTGCAACAGCCTTTTTCAGATGAATTATCTACTTCAGTTTAGTTTCAAGTCAGTCTCTGCAAATGTGACAAAGAAGTGAAACCCTAAAAAAGGACATTGTAGTCAAATTATTCATTTACATCACTCTGATGGCTGCTTAGCAGAGTATTGGGTAAAGAAGAGGAGGATTACAAAAATTTAACTTAAAAACCACAAAGGGATCGCCTCTCACACACTCTTACCTCTATTCTGAAGGTGCGGCTGGCAGCTGGAGATAAACATTCTAGCAGCTCGTCCTCCTGGTGAACCCCAATGATTTTATAGCTTACTATCTCTAACAGTCTGCAGAGGAAGACACACACAGAGGGAGAGAGACAGGGGAGAGAAGGATTAATACTTTGCAGGGGCTCTTCAAAGACTAACTTGTTTTCTGAGCATTAAGTCATATTAAACAACAGATAAAATTTGAATTAGTCTACAAAAAAAAATAAATAAATATCAGAGCTGATCAGGAGAACACATTAATAAAATTAAGATAAAGCTTTACAGACTCAGATTCAAGCACCTTTAAGAGCACAAGGGACCAAGTGGCTGGTATCACATGGCTATGAAATTAAGTAAACAGCAGATCTTTCAATCAACCAACATTTCAAACACACACCTCTTAAATATTAAAGCACATCATACCAAAGTATCTTTAAAGATAACAGTCACTCTTCTGAACAAGCTGGAGAAACGTTTTAGACCTTATTGAGGCAAACAAGTTTTTGGACTCCCAGTTCTGTGGTCTGGAATTTGTTTCAGGGGGAAGGTGTTTTGGAGTTGAGTTTTCTCTGTGTATGAAAGAGGCTCTTGATTGGGGACAGAGGTCAGAATGACTGCGACACTATGTACAAGCTGTTCAAAAAGCAACAGACATAGATTTATAGAAAAGGGAAACTGTCACATCTTAGCACATTTACAGGAGGGACCGTAAGGAGCGCTCTGTGTGTACTTGAGACTGTGAGATGAAAGACATACATGAAACAATTCAAATGAAAAACTCAGTAACATTGTCTTTCATGTGTCTACCACATTTACAATCCTACTGTGGAAATGCAGAAGGATGGATGAGGTTGGGGGCATAAAAAAGTCTTCATTGTTAAATGTGCGTCAGTGTGTCTTGTTGGTGCTCTGACAATCATGATTTACTTTGATGAATGACAGACAATACTACAGACTTTAAAGGGATATTCCAGCGTAAAATTAATTTAGAGTCGAACGCACCGTAACACTGAGTTACACACCCCCTCGAGAGATGAATGTTGCCGACCGCTTGTTTCTCTTGTTATACCAACTTTAGTAATGACCAAACAATACACAGTGGTCTGAGGAGCCATAAACAAACCTCAACCAAAAAGCCAATCTATAACCACAAATAATGCTTAGAACAGCACCTAACTTCATCAACAGTACATATAGAGTCCCAGCCATAGTACTAGCCAGCAAACAGCTTTTTAGCTTTGCCTAATTTCTTTAGCAAAGAGACTAAACACAACTCCCCTACCCTTGTCCAGCAGTCGCTTGTTTGTACGGAGACCTCGGACAAGACCATTACGGACTACAGCAGGGCTACCTATGCAGAGGAAGAACATTTAAGATCATTTCTTCATGGAAATGCAATCAGACCGAGACGCTAAGGCAGCAGAACTACCATGTCTGCTGTGCAAAATGATTAATTTGGTGATTATTACTTCAAGGAAATTATGTAGAAAGGATATAGTACAAACTAAACAGTCAACCACAAATTCAGGCATCCAGGGTAGGCACTTTTTCAGATGGAGGGACTTTATCCAAATTATCATGTTTATCCCTGTAAGCCATCGCCGTTTCTGTACTTGTCTCCACTAAGATAGAACCCTTGGTATGTTGCCTTGTGGTAGAGCATGAACCTGAAATGTAAGTGTAAATGGTACTGAATAACTAGTTATCCATCTTCTGTAATGTACGTGTGGCCTTGCCAAAGTATTTAAAGACTATGTTATGAGATATATTTGTGTGTGTGTGTGTGGACAGTGTGAGAGCTGAAGGGCCGATTAGCAGCAAAGCAGCCAATTTTCATCAGACCGAAAACCAGGACTGCAACTACAGCACTTTATAGCATCAGCCAGGTTCTGGCTAAACACAGTAATGAAGGTCAGACTGAAGGTCTTCCAGATCAGAGACAGAAAGGTACGTTTATCCTCACACATCTCCAACTATGCACAAATTCAGCCTGGATCTGGTGTGCTCCCCTGTTTGAATTAAATATCAAGTCAGGCTATCTACAACAGCTATGGCTACCTATGCAGACTGGCAACTTTTTGCCCTTGCACTTGCATGTATGTTTGCATTGCTGACACTGAAGTAGTAGATTTTGGCAGAATGCAAACTCGGATTGCAGATCTCTGTGTGAAAAAGGCTGGGCACCTCTGAGACAGCTAAACAAACTAAACAGTCAACCACAAATTCAGGCATCCAGGGTAGGCACTTTTTCAGATGGAGGGACTTTATCCAAATTATCATGTTATCTGGACAGCCCTGTTTCTTATTTCTGCATTCCAGGAAGATATTAGGTCTTTCTTAGCTGTAGTGTATGTGTATATATTCTTTTTTTTTTCCTCTCTCTATTTTATATATATATTTATATATATATATATATATATATATATATATATGTGTATGTGTGTGTGTGTGGGTGTGTGTGTGTGTGTGTGTTTTAAAATTCTCTATTATATATATATTCTTTCCCCCTCCCCTCCCTCACAAAAGTATTTTTGTTAAATTTTGTTGTTTTTGTCACTCTGTTTTGTTGTTAAATAAAAAAAAAAAAAAAAAGGCTTTCTTAGCTTGATTTAGGAATGTTGATCATTGTGAGCCTAACCTCTTGATAAGCCATCCTTTAACTGTGGTGACCTCTTCAGACATGTTTTGGTCGTACTAACCTAACATGTGCCACACACAGGCACACATATTTGCAATGGTGGTTACCTGAGCTTCTCAGAGCCTTTTTCAGAGAGCTCCACTGCCTTTTTACATTCTTCCAAAAGGTCACGGACACAGCCGTGCTTGTCAGGGTAGAGGGTAATCTCCTGCAACAAACACAGAAACAGTTTAATAGAGTTATGCACACTGAAATATCTGTGGTAATTTCAGCAGAAGAGTTGTAATTAAGACTGTTAGGTATGGTGTGTGTTTTACCTCCTCTCTGAACTGGCTGTTGAGCCATATGGATTTAAAACTCCTCCTGTTCTCAAAGTCTGTGATTTTCATCTTTAACTGTGAAAAGAAAAAACTGATCAGTCGAGTTTCGTTATGCTGTGAGCTGCTTTGGGGATGCTGGTAATCAATTGTGGGTTGCTGGTAACTCTATATAGTGGATGTATAATATGTTTTCATGATTCAGATCCCACAGGTTTCCTTTAAAATTGAAATGTTGTGGTGACACAAGAGGTTTCTGCAACACATCACACAGCGACAAACAAGTCCCTCCAAGCACCAGAGAGCTGAGGTTATCAGCAGCTTTAATTAGAGAAGAATACAGTGGGGTAGTCAACCTAAGCTGACAGATGTAATCTGGTTTGGACAGCTCTAGTTCTATGTTGACTCAGAGATGACAACAAACCACAAACTGAGCCTTATCAACACTCAGTCCAGCACCAGAGGATTTACCGTCTCAACATTTACACAAAAATCTGGTTCTCTACCTTAAATTGGTTAACTGTACAGATGAGTAGGAAAACATTGAATCTATGTGACCTAATTCTGGCAGCGATAAAAAAAAAAAAGTAGACGGAATGAAATTTTTATGAAGGTATACTCATGTTTTCCATTTTCATAAACACCTGAGGACCCTGGGTTACATCACTGATGATGTGTCTAAGTATGCATCGCAAGATGTCTGAAAGAACCTGTCAACCTGGCTTGGCCAGTGACGCCCGGGAATAGGCTGGATGACTACCATGAATAGCATGGCGACAGCTGGAAAGACAGCGGACAACTGGAGAGACAGTAACTGGGGCAGGGAGGGTTACCATCCCAAACTGCAGCTCCTGCAAGGGAGCACCCACAACAAACTACGGAAAACCCTGACGAGTTATACCCCCAGAGGTGCCTGAGAGGGGGAAAGGATGAGCACCTCGGGACGGATTTACAGGCAACAACCCAGGCTAACGGAATAATGACAACAAGTGCAGTCTGTACATGTGGCAAGGTCCTTAAGAATCGGCATGGCCTGAAGATCCACCAGGCCAAAATGAGATGCTTAACAGGGAAGCAGGTGGAGCAACGCACAGGTCCAGCACCTGGTGAGACGCAGGAGAAGCCCGGCCCGGAGTCACTCCACAGAGCCCAGTCCCTCCAAGCCCCACCTGCCCCTCCCCAAACTTGGCACTCAGACCAACACCGGATTAAGTGGCCTGCCACCAGTAAGGAGAGAGAATGGCACCAGTTCGATGAAGATGTGGACCAAGTGCTGGAAGCCACTGCCAGAGGCACTACAGACCAGAAGATGCGAGCAATGTGCACCATGATCATGAGCATTGCCATAGAGAGGTTTGGCACGAAGGAGCAGCAACCATCAAAAGGTGAAGGGAGGCCAAATCGCAGGGAGGGAAAGATCAGCCAGTTGCGCCGGGAACTTAGGCTGTACAGTACAAGCAAGCAAGGGAGAAGGAGAAGAGTGGCCTTCCTGAGCTCCGCAAGATTGTGAGGAAGAAACTCACCACTCTCTGTCGGGCGGAGTGGCACAGCGGTCTCCTGTGCCAAGGTCTCCTCAGCTGGCATAGAGGTCAGGACTGGCAGGAAGTGGAGGGCGCAAGATACAGTATACTAGGCTGAAGCATGGCTGAGGCACAGTGTGCTGGTGGGAGTGGTGACAACAGGACGGGCTGGGCTTGGCAGCAACCCGAAACCTCGGTTCGACATAGTCAGGGGGAGAGAGAGGCGCCAAATGGTCCAGGAGGAAATCCGAGCAGGGGTGGAGGAGGCCCGCTCAAGCCAGATTGTGGGGATGCGGTAGCAGGGTGCCTGGGCACAATGGAAGCAGGTGCTGGACCAGAAAATGTCGTGGTCAGAGCTTTGGAAGTCTGAGCCACACCGTATAAAGTTCCAGATCCAGTCAGTCTATGACGTCCTCCCAAGCCCATCCAACCTCTTTTGCTGGGGCCTAGCAGAGACTCCTGCGTGCCCACTCTGCATGAAAAGGGGATCCCTGAGGCACATCCTGAGCAGCTGCATGAGGGCCCTAGGAGAGGGTCGCTACCGCTGGCGTCATGATCAGGTGCTGCGGGTCATCACAGAGGTCATCTGCTCAGGGATCATCAGGAGCAGGCAGTAACAACCAGCAAAGAACACCATAGCTTTTGTCAAGGCTGGAGAGAAGGTGCACCACTCAAGAACAACAGGAGGGCTTCTAACAACAGCCCGGGACTGGCAGCTGAAGGTGGACCTAGGGAAACAGCTCAAATTTCCAACTCCCATCGCTGAGACCTCACTCAGGCCAGACATAGTGCTGGTGTCAGAAACATCCAGACAGGTGGTAATGTTGGAGTTGACTGTTGCTTGGGAAGACCGGATGAAGGAAACCTTTGAAAGGAAGAGGGCCAAATATGAGAAGCTGGCAAGCGAGTGCCGACAGAATGGTTGGAGGACCTGGTGTGACCCCATTGAGGTGGGGTCTAGGGGCTTCGCGGGCCAGTCTCTCTGTAGGGCACTGAAGAGGCTGGGAGTGAGAGGGCTGCACAGCAGGTGATGCCACAGAGAGAGCATCAAGATGGCTGTGGATCAAGCGGGGTGAACCGTGGACCACTAAAGCTACTTAGACACAAGTCGGGGCTTGATCAACCCTGGCTGGGTCGCCCAGGTGAGGGTGTATGATGTTGAAAGACCCGAAACACCCGAGGACCCTGGGTTACATCACTGATGATGTGTCTAAGTATGCATCGCAAGATGTCTGAAAGAACCCGTTTAAATACTGCCATTGTCTTGGCCCCACAGTTCAGGATTCAAGCTGAAAGAATAAATAAATAACAGTTTGTGTCAACTGGGATGCTACCCGCACACAAGGCACTTCATTGTAATGCCCTGGCCTTAACATGTGAGTAAAATATTTCACATAAATTCTCATGCACTGGGGCACCAGTTTGGCTTGACTCTTAAGGCAAATGCCCCATAAACAGAGGCTACAGCCCTCCGAGCAGGAGGCCCAGATTGATTCCAGTCCCCAGCACTTTGCGGCATGTCATACCCAGAGCAGGGCACACATTCATTGATACATTAACTATTTGACTATTATTCATTATTCTGTCTCTCATGCTCTTGTAGGTCACACATTAATATTGCTTTTCTTTCCAGTCTGTTCCAGAACTTCCTCACAGATGTTTTTAAACACTGCAAAAACAAAGCCTAAGAGTATACCTACCTGCTGGTAGTACAGTTTCTTGGGCTGTCGCGGTTTGAAGAATTGCAGTAGGTCCCGCAATGTTCCCTCATAGTTGTGTCTGAGAGGATTCCCTGGACCGTCCCTGTACCTGGCCACCACACCACCAGGCATGGGGGGAAGATGACGCAGGGGAGGGAGAAGAGGATACCAGGAAGAGAGAAACAGGTGGTTGGAAATAAAGAAGGAAAGAAAGAAAGAAAAGAGGTAGAGGAGGGTCAACGGAACAGGAGAGGAGAAAATTCAGCGGGATGGCAAAAATGAATAGAGGGGGATGGGAAAGGGGAGGGAGGCAGAGTGGGAGGAGTTAGAGGAAAACAACAAAGAAAGGTGGGGGGGGACAGGTTACGCAACATTTCTACTGACAACTGTAGTAAAAACAAAAACAGTGTGCAAACAAATGCTACTTGATTCTAAATCAACTTCACAAAAGATTGAAGTTTTCAGTCATACTCATAATATCTGTGTGTGTGTGTGTGTGTGTGTGTGTGTGTGTGCATGCATGCGTGTGTGTGGATGAGACAAGCCTCCTACCCCTGTGACTTGAAGAACTGCAACAGCATGGGGTCTGTGTTCAACCTCTGTGCTACTGTCTTTGCCACCTGACAAACACACAAAACAGTCATTTAGAGAGGGGACCATCCTGTCAGCGTCCTGCCAGGTTTCAAGGGTGCTGCTATTGAAACGCCAAAAAGGAATCTATAGATCTATGTACATTCATGATTTTCAAGCTCAATAGATGACATTCAGAACATCAAGATTAAGAGCATTTGATTGTTCAAATACTTCACCTGAAAATAGTTCATGCGGTTAGAAAGCGTGACTACAAATCCGGGATCATTGTGGATGGTCTTGTCACAGAAAATGACGTCCACGCGGTGGTACAGGTCCCGGAAATAGTCCTTGGCTGTCGGCAGCTCACTGCTGTCATTCTCTGGGTCGTCCCTGTGTGTTTAAAGAGAGGAATGAAAATAAGTCAGAGAGGAACAGAATAAGAAGCTTTGACAGGAAGAGACAGAAAAGACAATGGAGCTGAGAGGTAAGAGGTGAGAGACAAAATGGGGGCGTATGAAGCAAACACAGGATTAATATGGACCAAACAGGTGCCATGATGCACTGGTATACTGTATTACTATGTCTCTGAACAGCTCATTACAGTTTGTACATGAACTTTTTCCACACACAAAAGTGACAGCCCTAATGAACCATTTGGAGCTTTGTTTAACTGGAAAGGGGGATGTGATGCCAAGTTTGAATTTTAAATACATCTAAGCATTTTCCTATTTTAACAGTTATAAAGCTACTGTAAGGATTTTTTTGATCCTCCAGAAAACGACTGAAGTTCATACAGATGCCTCTGCATGATATCCAAACAGATCAGCAAACAAGACCTTCAGTCATATGATTGATGATTTTTATGTTAGACTTTTTGGTGTCTGAGATCAGTGTGAGGAGGTTAAGCAGTGTAAATTAAGCAGCTGAAGAAACAGCCCAGATTTAACACTTTTCACATCAACTATTGGTAGCTAATGGCACATTTGACTGTGACAAGTCAGCAGGATGAGATTTAAGCATGTATAGGACAAGATAAGCAAAGACTGCTTTGCCCACAGTTCCTCACATAAGTGACATTAAGTTACTTTGAAAATAGAGGTTCTGGGGAACACTTTGTAAGGTGGAGATTTTTTGAAAACGTTGCGCAGTTGGTTTGCGTGGATAACAAAAAATTAAATGTTGGTAAATGCTGGTAAAATGAACTTCACAGGCTCACAGATTTGTTCAGGTCTGCTCGTCACTATCGAGGTTCAATTAAATGCTCATTAGGAAAGCTTCCTGTTCCTTGTGATTATACTGCAATCCTGGGGCAAGTACATGAGGCTACATAGTTTGTAATTCAGCACTCGGTTATAAAAAAGAAGGAAAATGCTGTTTATAATTGTTGTTAGATCAAGTAGACACTTTATGCAGCTGCGCACAATGTTCTTCTGTGGTGTTCTGACACGACAGACTGATCATACCTAATCACCACTTATTGTTCTGACATGCTTCTGCATCGACAGGATTTCATTTCAAAATGGAGAGAAAACACACAGACACACACACACACACACACACACACACACACCACAGTGAGTCTTACTTCTGGAAGACAATGATGTCCCCATCCATGAGCTCATCCAGGGCCTTGTCCAGAGAAACATCATAGTCCTGTATTCGCTCTGTTAGGTTGGGCTTTACTTCCTGTAACACACAAGGCATCATGGGAATTGTAGTCAGTGTGCTAATTTGCAAGTACTTGGTTGAGAATGTGTAAAAATTCCAATCAACAGAAGGCTGAGTGTGAGGGAAAATAGAGATGCTACATATGACAGTGTGAGAGGATGCACAAGAGTGCCTGCCAGGGAGAAGAGCGTGAGAAAGTGAGTGTGAAGGAGTGCCTTAGGAGATAGAGCCAGTGAGAAGAGGAGAGAGGAATGTGCCTGTAAGTGAGTGTTACATAAATAGATCACCTCATAGAGGATAAGGCTAGTTTCCTGCTGAAACCCTGCTCGCTCACACATGACTGGCAGCAGATCTCCTGTTTACAGCAAGAGGAGAGCAACACACAAACATAATTAGATACTTTGAAGCCTTTTTTTAATTAAGTGCACAAGATAGAATATTCAGCTAAGGACAGACTTTGAGTTTGCCACCACTCACTTATTTTGCAGGATATAGGTGTGTAGATATGTCCACAATAATTTAAGCTTCTGGTTTTGGGGTCATACATCTTCAAGAACAACATGACATCATCTGCAAAGATGGGCAGAGGACTGAAAAGTTAGAGAAAGTTCTGCTTTGTCAGGAAATCAAGATCTGAAATTGCTCAAAGGATGGCAGCTAGTGTCGAAATGAAAATGATTAACAGTTATAATTGGTTTGCTAATAAAGGAAGAAAGAAATCGTAACAGTGATTATAGCCTAGATAGAAGCATTTCTACTGATTCAAGTTGAACTGTGTCTGTACAAATACAACACACTGTAAGCTAAATGGAAGAAATGTGGGTCAAGCTGCTGTGGGTCCGGCTAAACGTCAAATCACTGAATCATAAAACTGAAACATGAAAATCGTGTGTTGGACTTACGGTCTTTGTCAAACTTGGGTAACGTAGCCCCGCTGGCAGCCATCTCTGGATCCACAGTCTCCAGAAATATTGTCCAGGGGTTCTCATTGTCGCTCAAGTCAATCATCTGAAGCACAAACATAAACAAAATTCTCATTTTAGAGGAGAATGAGAAACCTAACTTGTGCACCGGGCTATAGCTGTCAGACTGCAGACATTAAGCATGACTATAGCCTGATCTGGCAGTCGTAGGGAGTCAGGAAGGTTACATCCACGACGCCTCAAAACTTCCCCACAGAAAATGTAGTATCTTGGATTTTTCTCTCTGCCCTCTATGATCAAAATCGTCCAATGAGAGAAGAGTGCTCTGCATGTGGTACCAATGTTAAAAGTGTAAATGAACAAAATATTGAGGCAAAGAAGGACTGGTGAAGCTGGTGCTGCAAGATGGAACCATAAGACAAGAGAAAAGTTTGTCAAATGTTGGTAACTACATCTCTGCTTTTTTGATGTGTCATTGCTGGAAAATCATGACTGACCACAAGAAGAAAAAGTATGTTAGGAATAGCAGATACCTCTGCCACCCAGTGAGTAACTGCTGTTAGTATTTCTGGGAGTTTTTTACCCAAACCCTCTATCTTTCAACGTCCTCTTGATGTATCCTTAATCAAGTCACGGCACAATGTTATGGTTCTGTTTAGGAATGCACCGAAATGAAAATTCTTGGCCGAAACTGAAAACGGAAAATGAGGAGACCAAGGCAAAAACACGAAACACTAAAAAGAAATTATTATGACAATTATTAGTACCATTGCATCTATGACTCTGACTGTGTACTAACCTCACTAAAATTAAGGCATTGCAATTGCATAAATTAACATTGAACATTAATTTAAATTTATCAACATAAAATATTGAATTTAATTAACATTAAATTGATATTAATTTATCCAATTGCAACATGAGTTCCATTATCATTAACGGCTCATGTGAACATGTCTTAAAAATGTCATCTTCTCGAACATAATGGGGCTCAGTGTGCTCAAAAACCGCAGAAATCCAACATCCTCTACAACAGAGAACAGCTGATCATCTTAGGCAGTAAAGTCCACCATTTTTTGTGTAATGTTCTTTGCCTTTGCACCATCACTGAGCAACTTTCTTGCCTTTCAAAAAATGTCCGCCACAAATGGTGGTGGACGTTTGGAGGGATTTTCCTGTTCTGTGCCGCGTTCTTCTCATATTCAGAATGGCGGTCAGGATGTTTGGATTAAGAAACTTTGCAGATGCACCCCCTCTTGAAATTTTAGCGTTACATGCTATGCAATTCACTATCCCTGGTTCTCAGATGTGTTGAAGTATGTCCACACCCCAGACATGTTGGCCCTTATCCAGACAGGCGCATGCTGGCTGTGGTTTCTGCTTGCATCATCACAAGATTTTTTTTGGCTGTGTTGTTTCGGTGAGAAATTTTTGTTGCATCCCTAGTGCTGTTGTCACTAAACCTCACACAAAAAGATAATGTAGTCTGACCTTGGCACAACACAGACAAGAGCAGCATTATTGAAATTACAATTCACACAGAAGGAGAGGTATTTCCAAAATTCAGGGACTCTATAGAGGGATAAATGTTGTGTGGATTCAGATGTATATAGGTTTTGTCTTTGTTGACAATACAATGCTGGGACAAAATGATTTGAGGTGGACTGCTGGACTTTTAAAAGTTGTCATATTTTCCTCACTCCAGATCTAACCTTTTACCTAAAATAGAAGCAATGCATTCCTGTAACAGGCTGAATTGGTTGATGGGCACAGTGTCAGTGATCTTTTTCATTCCTTAAAACTTTTCCAGCTGCGAGTCCTGTTGGTAAAAATTTTGTTCTGCTGATTCAACTGTGTAAGGCTAAATATCGAACCTACTGCAAAGTTTTGACACAGTACTTTCTCACCTGATGGCAGCTATGAACTACAGAACAAAAAGTTTTCAGTGTACTAGAAATACTTTCACAGGTCACACCCACAGACACAAACACTTACCGACTTGTTGCAGTCAGCCTCGTAGTCCAGCATTGCGGGCCGCTTGGTTCCGTTGCTCCGGGCCTGCATGGGCCACAGCCTCATCTGGTCCTGTGGGAAACCCTGCAGCAAAACAGTGAAACAGGAATATTAATGTGAATTTGTGCAGAAGCTGAAAGAGCAAAACATCATAAAGTTAAATCCGGCAGATCAGGCACACTAGGACAGGCGGGTAAATCAGGACAAGTTTACAGAAGTTTAGAAGCTGTACAGGAATGAAGGTTACAACATTAGAAGAAGAATCACACTTAAAACTGTGGTTCATATATTTACAGGTTTACAGTCAGAAAGTGTGGATCCATTAAAGTGAGAATTCATGAGTATACTGACAACAGTCTTACAGGTACACATAAGAGACAAACATGAAACTCAACAAGCCTTTGACACCCATGTTCACAGCTGTGGTTCAGCATTATATAAGGGAAGACACAGTTGCTCCACAAATTGGTAACAAACCAGTTTCATGATCACAGCACTGATTTCAGAGTTGAGACTGCTACACGTTTCCCTCACACACAAACAAACAGCTCTCACCATGGTCTGAGAGAGGTTCTGGACAAACTCTTGCAGCGTCGAGCTCTTCAGGACTTTGAAGACCGTGTACTTCACCTTCTCCTCATCATACATGTCGTTGCCCTGATGACCACAGAACTGGTCCTCTGTTACCATCTGTGCAAAGGGAGAGAACAAGTGAGGAAAATCAACTTTATCAGCTCTCGGTGAAACCAAAACACAAAAAGAAAGAGCAGAAGGCTTGGGGAAAATGGACAAAAAAGACTAAGTATGTCCAAAATTCAAAATATAGGAACATTTTAGTCTTTTTCCTATTAACCATGGACTGTGTTTCTGAGGAACTAAAACAGAAACTCTCCTGAGATGATCTTAGACAAATGGGAAAAGGGTCTCTTGATAATGTTTCATCTGACATATATACTAGAGTTACAACAACATCCTCCTAATTGAGATCCATTCATTGAATCCCCATGTAACATCCAGAGTGAATGAGAAAAATCTTGTCATCTGCCCTAGTTTCAAACCTCAGTAAGTAAAAGGCAAAGCAGTTAATATCTTGCAAACATTATCCCTTAAAAAGCTGTTTTCTCATTAGCACTTGGTCCTCTTTATAGCATGTTGACACATAGACTGTGTGTCAACATGCTAGAGTGATAAATCAGTTTCTGCTTCTGCTTGAGCGTACAGTTGTTTTCCCTGGCCTGCCTGCATGTGAGCGAACTATTTTGCCAAAAGGAGGCTGGCTGCTTGGAAAACCCTCTATGTGTGTCACAAGCAAAGGCTATAAAGGGTACCACCCACATGCTAGCTCCTTAAGTCCTCCATCTCAATATCCTAAATCTAAAGTGTTGACAATATCAGATCCATAGACATGATGCATTTTAATATGGAAGTCTTACAAGAGGTTACGTTTTTTCAAAGATACAAGCATGTATGAGCAGAATGCTTTTCAAATCAAGAGACTAACATAGTTGCAGCACACTAGATCTCAAAATCATTAGGATTATGGCAAAAGATAACCTCAGCCAGCTCATTCTGCCATACACAGACATACACCTGCCTCCTCCTCCTGCTGCTCTCCTCTCTCCTCCTCCCTCCCTCCCGTCCCTGCTGCTATTCTCCCTGCTCTCTCTTCTGTCCACCTGTAGCTGGGCAGATAACTGTAATAATCGTTCACTTGCGGATAAAAGCACCAAAATTGGCACACGTACTCCTTAGAAGTTGCTCTTTTGATATTTCCCTCTGGCCAAATGAAAATTCGAGATGGCCACCATTTTTCAAGCTGGCCACCATTGAAAATACAGTAATATAGCATTTTGCAATAAAATCCCATAGACTTGTCCTATTTGGATGAACTTGGTGTCAAATACAAATACATTTTACACTATGCAGAATCCAAATTTGGACCCATGGACTTACTTACTGGCTTCCTTGTACCATATTTCAGTCCCGGAATCCTAATATTCTGATCCTAATTAGATCTACATCATGTGAGACTCGAGTAAAATGGTTGGTAGCCTATATCTCAGTGTTGTTAGAGGTCTAGTGTGTGCCGCACGTGTGTGTGTGTGTGTGTGTGTGTGTGTGAGGTGTGGTGTGTGGTGTGTGGGTGGGTTGGGGCGGCGGCGCGAATCCTAATATTCTGATAAATTTTAATTTCACCTAAAATGCATGGTAGCACCATGGGATCACTCTTTGTCTGGTCTCTATCCTTCGAGCTATTTGGCGTGGGTGACCCTGCCAGGAGTACAATACTCCAACCGGCATAGCTCTAGGGGTCATGGAGACACACAAACTGCCCCACCACGATAAGGTGGTGATCCCACCTAGGCAGGTTTTTTTTTTTTTTTTTACATGTAGGCTGTTTGGATGAGTAGGCTTTTACTATAGCGTTTCTAAACCTCACACCTGCAGCTGCACAGTGCCGTGCCGTGCAGGTCAGACCGAAGCAGTAGCATTTGCATCTACCGCAGCATTCCGACTTGCATCCACACTTGGTCAGCTGCTGGCAACTCTCTGCAATGGGTGGGAGCTCTGTCCAAACAATCTGCCACAGATCTTCTTTCTTGGTCCATCCCCAGTTGGCAGGACTATGTGTTTCTGGTTGACATACTATTGACTGACTCCAGATGCAGCCCGCTTGGTAGGATGCACGCATGACATGTTGCTTAAGTGCCGATCGAGTTGGAGGAATGGCTTTGTACGGCCTCTGCTTCCGAGCAAAAATGTCCAACTTTGCATCGTCGACACCTTCAGCTGTGCTGGATTTGTCGTACAACATGACCACAAACTTCTCCATGGTTTTCAGGTCTTCATCATCCAATACAGGTGGGTAATGGCTGAGTTTGCTGAAGACATTGGAAGCCTCATCACAAACATTCCAGGTTTGCCAAGCAGACTTCTTCCCTTTGCCACGGAATGCTGAAACAACATCGCAACCAGTGAATGCATGGAAGAAGAGCATCCCTTTGCTCTTTTCTGCAAGAGTGCCACACAGGTCATGAACTGGAATCCACTTCAGGTTCTGTCTTTGGCCAAAGGCAACCCACAACTGCTGCGGACCGAGGTTCTGAAGAGCCTGCAGAACACTCACTGCAATGACAACATCTGTGTCGTTGGCTTTGACCATGATGACCTTGCTGCCTGCTTCTGTGGCATGCCTGGCATGCACAAAGATCCGGGTGTCAGCTTCTTCATGACTGCATGGTGCCACCCCAGCCAGATTAATCGTACTGTTGCTGATAACATCATCTTCCTTGGTCACAATGACCACATTTGGTGAGGCCACACATGCTATCTGATCAGCCAGAAAGCTGAACAGCTCGGCTTTGTTGTCATTTTCCCTCAGAAAGTTTTGCCATTTTGAGGGACTTTTGCCCAAAGCTGTCACCCTGCAACAACAACTAAGATAAGGTTACCAACCATTTTACCCAAGTCGGACATAATGTAAACCTCATAAACACCAGAATAAAAGAAAAATATTGTACAAGGAAGCCAGTAAGTAAGTCCATGGGTCCAAATTTGGATTCTGCATAGTGGAAAATGTATGATTTGACACCAAGTTCATCCAAATAGGACAAGTCTATGGGATTTTATTGCAAAATGCAATATTACTGTATTTTCAATGGTGGCCATCTTGAAAAATGGCCGCCATCTTGAATTTTCATTTGTCTAGACGGAAATATCAAAAGAGCAACTTCTAAGGAGTATGTGTGCCAATTTTGGTGCTTTTATCCGCAAGTGAACAATTCTCCTGTAATATGCTATTATCCACCCCGCTACTGTGGCTGCCTGATAGTTTATACTGCTGTGGCTCAAAATGCTAAAACATACAGCAGACCACAGTTAATCTTAGCAGGAGCCACAACTTCCTCATGCTCCCAAACTTGGTTTCACAAAACAGGGCAACTCAGCAGGGGGCACAACAATGGCTTAGTTTCAATTATCTTCTTTTTATGATCCTGGGGGGGCTAACTGGCTAAATAGTCTAGCGGGAATATGCTGATTTTTGAGGCGATAGTGCAAATGGTGATACAAGCATGAAATTTGGTACAGATATCCTTAATACCACTACTAATCATAATATAACCTCTGGCCACCTGGGCGGCGCCATTTTTCATGATGCCCGCGAGCTTTTAGAAATGGCTGTCACCAGGTCAACATGGACTTGGACTGTATCACTTTGCTGCAGCTATAAAACTTACACATACCCTCATTTTAATTTATTATAATGTTTTAGGTATTTATTCCAATTAAACATAAGATATTAGGTTCCAATATGGTGGCAAATTTCCAATATGGCTGCCAATAAATAGCAGAAATATACTGCAGTTCACGGTTAAGCCATAAGAGCATGCAGCACATAGTTGTATTTATTTCCATAGATAGAATCAATTTATGATGACACATTTAAAGTGATTTGTTTGCATTTTAGTGACATAGGTACCATTACCCAAACCAGCACGCCCAGGTAGGACCCACATATGTTTCAAGGTGGGCTTGCTATTTGGGAAGTTCGTGGGATACACTTGGTTCCCACTTCGGCTGTCCATGTGGGTACTGACTGGGCCCTAGGTAGGTAGTTTTTTTGTTTGTATGTGTTTGTTTGTTTTTGTTTGTTTTTTTGTGCTTTTAAATTCCATCACCATCATCAAGTCGCTTTGGGTCAAAAAGAACTGGCATGCAGTTCATTTTGTGAAATTCGGGAATATTGTTAGCCAATGTCAGATAACCACTGCCTGTGGCATTAGTTAACCTTTCACTGATGTTTTGTTGGCACAAACAGCATAATTCCCAATTGGTTGGACTAGATACAGGCCTACTATCTGCCTGTGACAAAGGTGTGGAGGGTATTTCTGTCTGTGTGTCCATTGCTGTTGTCTAGGCCGAGGGATTATCCTTATATACCACCTATTAAAGACAACTTACTATACTACTCTACACTTTAAAGTATAGGATACAACTGGGCTCAGATAATAACAAGATCACTACCCTACCCCCAGCCCGATCATTCATCCAATGCTATTTAATTCCTGTGTGAGCTGTTCACCTTCCAGAAGACTAAAGCCCCATCTTCCTTGGCTCGGCTCTCCCACGCTGGCACATCCTGTCAATTCAGGTGCAGCTGTTTAACTTTAACTTGGGGCAAGCTAAACAGCATTTAGGAAACTAGACAATTTATTTAGACAAATTTACTAGCTAGCATTGAACCCCATGCTGAGTCTCACAGCTATAGTGTCAACCAGTGTGCCCTGGTAGTGTAATGACACTACACAATATATTATTGATTTGTCATGTTATATGGTGTGGCCATTTTTAAAACAAATATGGCCTTTCATAATAGCTCATGTCTATGACATATAAATAACTCTGATCTATTATGAATAAATATATGACAAACTTCCAAACAGCAGCTATAATGACCAACAAAATACCAAATTCTTCCCATTTCTATTTCTGGGCGGCCATCTTTTAAAATGGTTGAAATCTGCTTAGCCAAAGGTTGATTCTAAAATATGGTCATATAAAGGTCATATGTACCAAATTATATAGTTGTATCACCATTTTGACCATCCTTTCAAAAATCAGCAATTTAGAGTTTGACTAGGCCGCCATATTGGATATTTGCTGCCATATTGGAACCTAATATGTTGTTTTTAATTGGTATAAATACCTAAAAAATATTATATTATTTCAAAGGTAGGGTAAATGTATGATTTATAGCTGCAGCAGAGTGATAAGAGTAGCGTTGGAAGCCATCAGGACCATCGAGGTTAAATTTTTTCTCATCAGAGAATAAAACTTTCTTCCACCTTTGAAGGTCCCATGTTTGGTGCTCCCTCGCAAAGCCCAAATGGGCAAATTTGTGGAGTTAAAGGAGACGTGGCCTTTGAAGACTTTTTTTTGTTTTTGAAGCCCTTCCTTCGCAGATGTCATCTGATTGTTATTGGGCTGCAGTCAGCGCCTGTAATGGCCTTAATTTGGGATGAGGATTGTCCCGCGTCTTCACGGACACACGTTTGGATCCTCCGGCTCAGCGCTAGTGAGATTTTTTGGGGTCTACCACTTGATTTTTTTGTTCCATAACCCTCCGGATCTTTTAAGAAATGAAAATAACGGTCTTACTGCGTCCAACCTCAGCAGCGATGGCACGTTGTGAGAGGCCTTTTTTATGCAGCTCAACAATCCTACCAGATTCAAAAGCAGTGAGCTTTTTTGGCTTTGCCATCAAGAGATGTTGACAGTGTGACCCCTTGACAAGAAACGACATGGAATCCAAATTTTCGCACAGATTTGGGCTTTTAAAGGCTGTGGTCTTAAACTTTTGATCAGCTGATGAACAGCCTATTTCAGTTAAATTGTTGTTTTCAATAAATTACCTGCTCAAAATTTTTGGTCTCTTGTTCCCATTTCTTCTTTTTGCATTTTGAAGCTCTACTAAGAACCGTCTTAAGGTCCAACAGTGCTAAATATAAATTCTTGCAGGTTTTTAACTGGTCTTAAGATTTTGATCAAGAGTGTATTATGATTAGTAGTGGTATAAAGGATCTCTGTACCAAATTTCATGCTTGTATCACCATTTGCACTATTATCTCATATTCCCGCTCCACTAAAACCCACAGGATCTGGAACAGCTCCGCTCCGCTCTGGACCAGCAGGCGGATCAGATCAGCAAGTCTACAGCACCCACCAGATCGGATCCGCCGCTGCCATCAGAGGAGAAGCGCTCGCGAGATTACCGATATTTCTCACAAGACTGAACGAGATCTCACGAACTCTCGCGTGTTTCCCTGGGAGTCATAGAATGAGATCCGCCAATTGGTGTATATAAACAGCGGTGTATATAAAAACTCACATCCCACAACCTTGGCCTCTCCTATTATCAAGTTAACAACAGTTCAATGTATTGATTTTATTTTGAAATTTAATCGGGTATGTTACTCTGTAACTGCGTACAACTTCCGCTGCTGCTTGTGCTGCGCTGCACTGAAATGATGCGCCATGCTCTGGCATCCGGCAAAAAAAGAAGCCTTGCGTATCTGATCCGGCTCCCGGAGCCGATCCGCAGTGGAGCCGGACGCCGGATGGATTCTGTGGAATGACTCACATTGATTATAATGCTTGCAGATTTGATCCACCGTCTGTGCCAGAGCGGAGCCGTTCCGGACCCTGTGGGTTTTACCCGTGAAATCATGGTTAAAATCAAAACCATTAATTGCCTGGCTCTGCTGCACACTTTCTGAAATCAAATTTCAGATTCTTCATGAGACAGAAAAACAGCAACAAAGATGTAGTATGTTACAACTTCTGTTGATATCAAATTTTATTTTTACTGAACCATACATCCCAAGTTTGAAAACTCTTTTTTATATGTAGCAAGTCACTTCTGAATCGTCATTTCCTCTACCAGCTACTCTCAGGGATTAGAGCTGACAACAAAATGACAGCAAACAGGCAAACCCAAGCAGAGAGCATAAAGACTGCTCCAAATTTGTTCAGTAATAGTAACTGTACGGCCATAAGCGCAAACTGGCAGCCATGTTTTGACTACTAAGGAAGTTTACCACCACCAGGGTGTGACTGTGTGGCTGAATGAATGATGTATCCAATGTAAAGCGCTGTGAAGGTCTCTGATAAAGCACTATAAAAATCTGATGCATTATTATTATTATCATTACTTCACCACTTGTTCAAAAAACAGAAAAGGAGGCTTGTGCTCACTTGTGTGGCTCACCTACCATTTTAAAAAGGTGTCAGTTAGCAGTCAAAAACTTAAAAACCGGTTGGATCAGTGTTCTGTGAAGCAGTTGTATCACATGGTGAATCCCTGTGTTCACTAGTCACCAGGTTTCTGATAGAGCACTCTGAGGTTATTAGCTTTGACTGCAGGTAATCATACATTGGTAAATTATGAATTACAGATATGCAAGTCCCCCATACTAAACTTTGGCCAATGTGAATGGAGTGACCTGCAAACAGGAGGGAGCCGTATGAGGGAAGCATTACAGTAAAACCTAAAAGTGTGCAGAGAAGAATTGTATGGACAAGAAAATCCACAAAAAAGTAGGGCTGCACAACATAATGAGCAAATAATCAATGTCTGCAGATAATAGCTGACAAAGTTCATTACCAGAACAGACAGATATGAAAATCTGAGAAGACATAACCAGCAGAAAACAGTGACTAATTACATGTGTAAAATGCATACTGAATTGCCATTAACAGACATTACCAAATGTCCATATTTAAAGAGAATCTATTTATAGAAGAAACAGATGTTTGCCTTGTTTTATGTTTGCTTCAATTACAAACAGACTATCACAATTAGAGTAACGAGTGAATAAATTACAGAGACTTGGTATTTCTCTGTGCAAATAAAGCCATGCTTTCAACCAACAACAAATTCACTCTTTATTTTGCATATAACTGTCAATTAGAAAAACTGTCTCACGTGCAACACGACATGTGGTTCAGGTCCCAGTGTCACTAGTGGAGGTTGTACAGGTTGTGCTAAAAATCTTAGCCAAGTTCAGCAAGTAAAAACAAAAATCTCATCACTGCTGATTTGTTTGTTTGAACACTTCACTGGTTGACCTCTTTGCACTAGCTTTTAACACATCCTGTATTCATTTTTAATGTCGAACCTTTCAGAAGAATATCTGATTCAATCCAGTGTATACAAAGAGCTTGGTAAAGTCACATCAACTGCAACACATAAAACATGGAGTTTATGCTGGCTTATAAATCTCAGCAGTTTTACATTCAGCAGGCCTAATGCGATGAGGAGCATATCCCTTACTGCACACTCCGAAGGAACAAACTCTGCAGGCCTTCAGTCTGCTAGTCTGTCATGTTTATACTCAGTGATACTTAAAGACCCACTCCAATGAAATCATTTTTTTCTTGTTTTTTTTATTACAGGTTCATATGGCAATTTTCTGATGGTAGAGGATATATCATGAGAAAAGGTATTGCAAAATTGCATTTCCGAGTATTTCTGCATCTAAATCGCTGTGAACTTTTGGCAGACCCAAATGGCAGGTTCAGACAGTGAGATTTCCTACGTCACTACTGCAAGCTCAGCCCTCGGCACCCCGAGTTTTTAGGCCAGGTTCGGTTAAGTAGAGAGGACAAACGCGGAACAAGCGTGTGCGGTAGCAGATTGCTATGCTCACAAGAAAGCTAATTATGATACTAGCTTTCATCACGTTAGTGTCCGAGAGCTGAATAGTTCCTGTGTTACCTGCCACTTCTACTACACCTGCAATGTTAGCCTGCAAGCTAGCATGAAGATGAGTGTGCAGAGCAGCGCTGTTTCCGCCCATGACTCAGAGGTGAATTGCTAATGAGCTACTGGAGCTCTGCAGAAGAAAAGTCCTTAAAAATGACACACGTAACGCGATTTTAGCTATTAAGTTCATACTCACAACTTAAAGACGACTGAGAACACTTATAGTAGAAAAAAAACTGTCGTAGTGGGTCTTAAAAAACTGAAAAATGACAAGGGGGCCTCTATTCCTGTGGTCCAAAGTAAAATAAAGCCAATATGGCAGATATGTTTCTGTGCATACTTCCGTGCATCAGCTTCAAACAGCTTTCAGAAGCATCTTTCTAAAATTGTAAATATCCACTTCAACATTAGCTGTGGTTGATTCCTACCTGGACCTGCATGTAGAGGTGAGCCTCTTGGCGCTCCTTCCTCTTCTGTGCCTCCACCCTTTTCTCCTCCTGCAGACGCTCCACTAGCTGCTGAGGGATGTCCACATCAGTCATCGGCTGAAGAACTTCACCTGAGGTAGGAGATATGAAAATGAGAGTAACAATTAGAGGCATGATACCAAAATTTCAACACAATTTCAGTGCCATAAATTGAATTTTCTCACAGGCTGTTTACAGAAACCTTTCAAGTGCTTATAGGGCGGTTAATTGTTACATGCAAGCCAGGGAGACATTGTGTGACTCACTAAGCTTGGACTCTCGAATGTAGACCAACATATATGCGTTGGTGCAGTGGCGCACAGAGAGGTCATCATCATGCCCGCCATAGTTGTGTTCTATGGCCTCCTCCTTGGTGCACCGGGACACCACATCATCATCAAACTTACACCACTGGAAAGAGAGAGATAGAATGATGGATGAGAGGAAGGAGAAGGGAGAAAACGTGAAAAGAAAAGAGCAGTTCAGACTACTTCTGATGGGTAACCATTCTCACATACTTTGAATATAATGAGCTCCAATACCAACATGCAGCTTCCTAATACTCAATTAAACTAAAATTAATCTTGAGAGTGTGATGGCAATAGCCACCAACTCAAGCTAAAGCTTAAATTGGGGGGGGGGGGCTACGCTACAGTTTACAGACAACATAAGACTGGCATTTTGGCCCAACAATCATAAAAGTATAGTCTGACTGACTAGTAACTGTGGTGCTGGCCAGTGAGGGTGATGTAATTCAATCAACTTCATGCGCAGATCCCTACAACTCAGCCCTGTGTCACATGCTGCAGAGCTTCACAGCAAAGTAATATTTAATCCCCAATGTTAAACTGTGTCCAACATCTCTTTATGAAGTTATTTACTTAAGAGGAAGCCCTATTAGTACCTCTGCTAAGTCATTTTTGAAGGTTAAAAAACCTCATGTATTTTCATTTCAGTTAAAAAGAAACCCACTTCAAACTGCCATATTGTAAATCTGAATTCTTTATCCTTCTGAAATCATTGTTGAAAAATCCCACTTAAATTTGGCTGTACTGTGGATTTGCAGAATTAGCGTGGATTTACGTTTAGTGTGGAAAAAAAACAGACAGTACAAAGACTGAGCTTGATTGAAGTCACATGCTTTGTCAGCAACAAAAGCTGCATTTGTTGCCTATGGTACATTCCTAACAAGCAGAACTTATTCCACTAAATCCTTAATTCAAACCTTTCTTTGGATGGTTGGCTCTTTAGATATAAAAGATATCCTACTGCTAAGTAAGCTTCTGTTAGCATTAATTATAAAGTCTCATGCTGAGTGGGGAGCTAACTTCATGATTCACCTGGTTTTAACATTGTACTTGGGACATTTTGAAATTTCTTGTGAGCAAATTAACTTTTTATAACACTTCTATCATCAGAAGTATCAACCATTTAGTGGCATCATTTCCCACAGTCGGTTTCTTGGTAATCTGTTGAAATATTAAACTCTATCATATGATGTATGGGCATCATGCTTACAGAGTAGATGTAAGATTTTGTTGAGCACCCATTGATTCCTTTAGTTTATGGTGCGAGTGTTTCAAAGCTTTAAGCGCAAAAACCCCGAACAAGCCCACAGAATTTTTGGGTGAAAAGTGTATAAAAAAAGTTGTCCTCACTATTGGTTCCTTGACACTCACTTTGCCGTCTCCTTTTGGGTTAAGATAGACGACGTAGTGACCGCCATGGTTGTCCCCACTGTGCACAAGCACTGCATGCAGGATGTAGTTGGCCGGGTCCTTGGAGTCTGGCTTCTGAAGGAACTCATCCAGTGGTAACTGATCTGGAAACTCAAACCTGTTGAGGACAGGAGAGAGGGGATAAGCAGTTTAGAGGACGGATGGTGGAATGATGTGGAAAGGTAATGTCTGAAGACGGAGAAGACTTGGATAAGCAGGATTGGTTGGCAAAGTAAGGAAACAGTAGAAAAGAAAGTCAAGGGAGGAAAACTGAAGGATAAGAAATACCAAGACAGGAGAAAACACATGAGGGAAAAAGGAGAGTGTATATCTGTGTGAGTGTGTAAATAAATAAAGCCCTCAGGGGGCCAGGTGCTGGTGGTGTCATCAAAAGGATGACTCATAGATTGATGAAACACCACAAGGAAAATTAGCAGATTAGGCTGGCTTCACGTGTGTGTGTGTGCTCCCTCAGAGTCACATCATCCAGGTGGATTGTTTAAATGCTATTAGCTACCACATACACTGTGATACAGCCAACAGGAAGCACTCTCAGTGACTCACTTTCTCTTACTGGCTCAGTGCAGGAAGTCAGTGTGCTGCTCACTGTTCTGTTTCTGGAAATAGACTGATCCTTTAACCCTACATTAATATAGAGCAGACCTGTCACTAAGATGATGTCTGTACAACAGCCTCTGATGTGTTGTGGGAGAATGACGGCAGGACAAATCTAATTCAATTATGGCTAATGGTATGTATGTAATGCTAACAGCCATCAAAATGTTTTAAGCAGTCTGCGCTAAGGTTGTGAGCCTTTTTCATACCTGTCGTTGATCTTGATGTTTTGGTCAGTCTGAGGGTCATACATGAACCTCATTAGCTGCAGGTGAAGAATTGGAGGGAAGGTGAGGAACTTAACTCCCTTTTCTGCCTCCTGCCAACAAAAACACCAAAATACATGAATTTAGTTTACATAGAAATTGTACTATATATTTAATTTTAAATATTACATTTAAATATAAGTTTGAATTAGCAAAATTAATCACTCTGAAAATCAGATGTTATCATTTTAGATTACAAAAAAAAAGACTTAAAACCACATAAATCATTTACAGCAGTTCAGACTCACCTGCAGGCCATGCTCTCCTGCATCATATTTGTTGTCTCCATCTAACTGCTCTGTTGCGACATAATCTTTGAATGACTCAAAGACTGGAATTAAGCAGAAAGAAAAACATCCATATTAGTGACTCTCATGTAATGGCGTCTTTTCCCCTGCATAGAAATGTGAGCCTAAACCCATGTCTATAACATCAAAATCTGTCCAGCCTTTTACTGCTGGGTCGCTGTTTGAAAGATGAAATACAAATTAACTGCTAATGATTCTACTTACTATTTTTCTTTCCTTTTATGCTAAGCTGGATGTCATAGTAGTCCTCTATCCGCTCTGACCGGTAGTCCACATGTTTACACTGAATGTATGACTAGAAAAAAAAAACGAAAAAACACAGAGGTTAGCCTGTATGATGCATCAGAAAACTGCCATTAATCTGGGGTGGAAATCACTTCATATGCTCAAACTCTAGTCAAAAGTCATCTGTGAGCTCATTGCTGCACACACATGCACCAGAAGCAGAGAGGAGACCATAAACTATATATAAACATGATGCAGAAGCAGCAGCATCCTTGGGCTTCAAGTCCATAGAAGATGGACTGAGGCAAATGCAAACTGTTCTGTACATTCACATTCATCATTCTTTTTGGAAATCACAAACACTGCAGGGAACATCCACTGTGTTATCAGCCCACAGTTCAGTTTGGGATGCTTAGGTACCCATGGAAAAGGTAGCTTGCATATTTAAGCAGGCACCATCCATACTGGAGAAACCTCAAAGTAAAGGTTTTTTTGTGCTGCCATCTAGACTACGCTTTTTTACAGAACCAACATATTTTAGCAAGGCAACGCCACACTCCATTTTGCACTATTATAACAACATGGCTCCGTAGTAAAGAGTCAGGGTGCTAATGTGGCCTAGCTTCAGTCTTGACTTTACCAACAGTTTGGTTTGATGTCAGTGGGTGACAACTTTTAACTTGTTAAACTCCAGAAACTGATCTCCCATGTGTTTACAGCATGGTGTTTAAATATAAAAGTTAGACTTCTGTCCCAGCATGCAGTTCATTGGAGCACAGAAACAGTACTTCAAATCTCTACTCCATTCGATGTTTGGTATTATCTCTTGGTGGAAAGATAGCCCTGGCTAAGAAGTGGTTACAACCAGATTCTCCAACATAAGAGGAGCAGTAAAATTAGTTTGTGAAATTAAATTTATGCGGAGATTAGAATACAGTCATTTGCAAATGTCAGGACTTGTTCCCATGTCTGCTGTGAGTTATTGTACCTAAATCAATAATGTTACAACCCCTAAGTCCAGGTTCAGCTTAAAGTCTTGCTGGACAAAGTTAAGCTGAGTCTCTGAGGGGCATGTCCAAGTCAAGAGTCAGGTCGCTGGTGGTAACAACAAATCTCATTTGTGTCCTTCGTTGAAACCCTGCGAGACATTACTAAGATTCTATATTCATAAACCAACAATAACCAATGTTTATTCAAAATTATGTATTACTGTGCTATTTGGTTTTATTGTCCATATATAGCTATTTGAGGTGGATCCAGGTTTTTTTTGAATGGGGTGGCCTGGCTGGGGTGCTGACTTTTGCAGCATATACACACATTTACTGTTTTTAATTTGACTATTAATATCGAAGTATCATCTAGATGTTTTATTCTCATATCCTAATTGTTAACTTAAAAAAAAAACTGTTAGGCTTAAACTTCTTGGCTGAGGGATCTTTTTTGGACTAAAAAACAGAATGTTTAAAGCAGCCCAGCATAAGCAGCCTGTTAAGATGCAACCAAAAGTAACAACACATGATTCCACCTATGATCAGGCAATTGGCCAATCAAAGTTTAAGATTTGGGGGTTATCAATCCAGTTTTAGGGGCTGGGGGCTAGGGTTGGGTATCGAGAATCGAGTATCGATGGGGACCGGGACTAACATTTCGATTCTTCCAATATCGTTCAAATATTAAATTTTCGATTCCAAGTTTCGATGCCGGAGTCCGCCGACCGGAAGAAATAGCCGCCGCAACATTAGCAATACAGTTAAATCATGCAAAGGAGGGTAAACGAACAACATGATTAAACACCTCAGGATTCATGGAGGAGAAATACCCGAGTGCTCGTGTTTGACGCGCTTCGCCGGTGTTGTGCTATAGAACGCACCCCTGCCGTAGAATGCCCCCCTGACAGGAGCGCGGTTTAAAGTACACAACAAGGCGAAACAATCTAAGTTTTGCTTAATCGTTGAACGGAATCTAAAGCGTGTGCCTTTAATGATTTCATTCAGGCTATTCAGATAAGCTGAAAACAATAGCCCTCTGATTCCGAATATTTACTGTCCCGAAAATATAATGTTCTCTACCTTAACAGCTTACTGTACAGTTTATATACCCAAGTACACCTCTATGTGTGCATTTTTGATACACATAAAAACAAAACGAAAGTTTACTGCTCCATTTGACATGTTTTCACGATCTAATACTCGTGTTTTTTTTTAAAATATGAGATCATTGTCTTCCACTTTAAGAAGCTAATGAGTGGAGGGGAGGCATTCTACGGCAGGGGTGCATTCTACGGTAAAACACCTGTCTTCCGCTAACCAGTCAGGATCAGATAAGTGAAACAATAAATTACTTCTGCCCTCTGCTAACTTTGAAGCAGTAAACAAATTGTACTGTGTACGGTGAGTAAACTTAAATATCCAACTAACGTTAGCCCTTGTACTTTTTCATAGACAAACGACCTGACAACAAAAAATTATATTTATATACTGGTTTAAAATAGCTCTGTGAGAAACTCATCGTAAAGTTCTTAAAAAATTAATAGAATTTGAAAATTCATGGAGAAGTTCAGAAATTTCATCCAAAAAGAAGAGCTCCGGTTAGCACCCTCATTCAAACCATGTTTTTTTTTTTTTTTTGATACCCTGCCTTTTAAAAGAATCGAAATAGAGAATCGATAGGAATCGGAATCGGAATCGAAATGAGGAATCGAAATCGGAATCGGAATCGTTCAAAATCAAACGATACCCAACCCTACTGGGGGCACCCCTAGCTATCCCCTAAATCCAACCATTACACCATCCCCTCTCTTTTATGACTGTTCATAGCCTACCTCTGTATATTGTGGTTCCTTTTTGCCAGTTCAAGTTGAAACTTTTAACAATTATCATCAGCAAGTTAACCAAATTGCAACATCTTGATCCATCATCACATCAGTCGCTCAGTGTGTACGAGGCTTTTGATGGCGATCAAGCACTGACATTACAGGAACCACAAGTCTGATTAAACAGCATTATCAGAAGGTTCATAATTAACATTACCCTCTGACCTCAGTCACTGCAGTAAGAGGAGGAATGTACCTTACCACGTGTCTCTCTTTTTCTCCCCCAGATAACCTGCTGTCTGATCGGATGCTTTTTGCATCATTCTCAGGTGGTAGAAACCAAAGGGGGATAACTCATTTACTGATAGCAGACGGCAGACTTCTGTGGCTTACAATCAAGTGAAAAAAGTCTGTGGATACACCCGGGCCACCTGCCCAGGTATGTTATCTTCAAAACATTTCACACTTCACCAAATACAGAGGGTTACCCACAGGGGGGGAGAGTAACATTCATCTCATCACATTGATGAATACAAAGTAACAAGACTGTGCACAAGTTCTAACGCTCAAGTCAAGCAGGGTCAAGGTTTTGAAGGGCAAGTCCAAGTCAAGTGTCAGATAATGTTAGTGTGCCATTTAAGTGGGTCTCCAGTCCAAGTCTTTGAGCCCCCATCTCTGGCTTACAAACCAGACTTGCTTTAACAACCCTCTGAGGTCATCATTGCTACTGGACTGCAAAAGTCATTGTGTTGGGATTGGATCTTGACAGGTAAATGAGTGTGACATCTCTTGTTCATGTATTCCAATGTTAATAGTTGGTTTAAAGTAAAATGAAAGGGGGGGCAGGAAGAGAAAGGAAGCTGTGTTAAGACAGAGCTTCATGCTTTTGTTTTAAGCATGTTTATATCACTATGTGTCAATTATGTGATTTCTGCACTCATCTTTTGAATCCTGGACCATGAATAACCACCCTAAAAATGAAGTTAAAAAAAAAATAACTGTGACTGCCATCGGTTTGTTTTTTCAGTTTGAATTTTAAAAAGTTGTCTTAACTATTTTCAATTAAATACAGGTTTGAAAGGATCTATAAAGCATAAAAATCTTTTTGTCAACATTGTCAACACAGTGGTCTCACTTTTTTGTACCTGGGGTTTTGTATTATTATTACAGTGACAGATATATGGCATGAAAGAAACATTGCCCTCCTTAAAATCTTTAATTGCATTTGTTTGTATCTTGATTTGTGCAGGTGAGCCCATATTTGTAAATGTTCTACTCTGCAGGCATAAATGACCAGAGTGTAAACCAGCAGCTACTCAAATGTAAACAAACCCTCAACACCTGAAGCTTCTTTATCATTATACATTAATAATTCAGCTTTGCATCTAAACTAAATCCGCATGACCAAGAGCATATCTATACTCTCTTTAAAACCAACCAAAAGCACTTTTCAAATAAATATCAGCTTACGTAGTATAACTTTCAGATGGAACTCCAGGATGTTTTTTGTGTGGCACAACAATAAGTGTGCAAAATGTAACTGCAGCTGTAGAGGCAAGCCAAACAAAAAAAATGAGGAGAGAAAACCTACCACCATCTTTCCTCTGAAGAGCTTAGGGATTGTTCCCTCCACACAAGTGCCTTTCATTTTGTTCTCCACATTGTCCAGGAGCTGGAACACACATACGCACACAAACAAACACACACAATAGGTCAGTAATGATTCAGCATGCATTAACACCCACATTCTTCAAGACAGTACATGAGAACTCACCACTCTGCACAGCTCCTGTACATCATGTTGCATGAAGCTATCTAGTGTTTCCCATCTTAACAGAAGAAAACAACAAAACCATGGCAGTTAGACACAAAGAACAAAGTTTAGGGCAGAGTATTGGCTAGTAGCTATCGTAACTTATACAAAAAAGACTGGAATAATATGTTATTGAATTTAAATCAAAGCAGTGACCATAATCAGTGTGGCACAGATTTCAGTGATTTTCCCACACTTGACAAAAAACAGGGTAAACATTCTACATTGCAGAACCAAGATATTTGATGTTTATCAAATTTTTGTGCCAGTGTCTCATTCTACTTTTATTCTAGCCATATTTTGTTTAAAAAAATTAAATAAAGTCTGAGCAGTTAATTCCAACAGATTAAAAAAAGGCTGCCTTACCCAAAGGACTTGGTGAGTTTCTTGGTGCCGACAGGTTTGTCGCTGTGCTGTAGCTCGTAGAAAACCCTCTGCAGTGCAAGAGGAACGCTCTTTGACGAGTCGTCTCCCTCTGTGGGCATCATGTACACTGCCTGGAAAAGACAGCAAGGATTCATGCCAGGATTACACATTTGACAAAGCAACACTCTACAAGAGAAGTCTGTTCAGTTGAGACGTCATCTGTATTTTCATGACAAATAAAACGCACATTCTTAGGGATAAAAACATACAGGATCTGTACTGAGCGCATAACGGCAGCATAGCGTATCACGCAGCAAATAGGTTACCATTCTAATCAATGCAGCATCGCATACAGGACACATATCAGCTTCGTCTCAGAAGCGTGTCAAGCACGGCTCTGCTACACAGGATGTCAAGCACGAACACACGTGTTTGTCATCCTGTATTTCAAAATAAAACACCCAGGCATGAAAATGGGTCAGGGGTTGAAAAGGTGAGAAGCGGGGGGGGGGGGTTGAAGAGTGATTGAAGATATGAGGGCCACATTAAGACAAAAAAACGTTTTTAAATCTTAGACATTATTTAGTTATTATTTAGGAGAATAAAGTCAATAATATATAAGAATAAAGTCCTAAAGTTACCTGTTGTGGAGGATAGTTGCTAAAATCAGCACTGAGGAGCATTTAGACGAATTGTACTTTAGTATAGGTTTCACAAACATGGAGATACTTAATCCTTTGGTACATGAGCGTTACACTGTCAGAACTTTAAAAAGAATATATGAGAAATGCTGCTTTTGTGGAGGGGAAAATGGCTGGAAATGGCTGTACAGAGGCTAAATTCATCAATGCAGCTGTTAATAGCAATAGCATAGGGCTTTAGTTTATCATATGAGTTTATCTGCCATGAGGTGTTGAGGTCTCTGCATGTGTAGGTTACTGACTTACTGTAATCATCGGGTCTTTCTTGTCCTTATAAAAACCTGCTCTATTTCGGCGAGTGTCTGTCTTCTTCTGGAGTCAAACCGCAAAATATCAAAATCTACCCGGATACAGCAATGCTGCTTTTTGATTGGCTGTTCAGTATATATACTTTATTTGATTGGCTTGCGCGTGGCACGCAGCCTCTGAACTCTCGGAGGAACTCAAGTGATTTCTACCTGTTCCATTGTTACAGAGGTGCAACTTTGTAGACATCACCATGTTCATATAAATGCGTGAGAAATACAATGTGTGGCGTGCGAGCGTGTGAACGGGTGGGAATGTGTGTGTCACACGCTGAATGCGTGAGACTTGAGAGCCCTGCAGAGCAGTAAACGCAAGACGCCCGCTTTCGCTATTTTAGACGGCTCAAAACTTGGATTATTTCGCCTTGTTGTGTACTTTCAACCGCGCTCCCGTCAGGGTGACGTTCTACGGCAGGGGTGCATTCTACGGCACAACACCGGCGTGGATAAGTCCTGCTTCTCGTTCTCGCAGCCACCACAGGCTCTCCAAGCACTCCAAGTACACGTGAAGCGTGTGCGCATGATTGGAATAATGGAACGCAGTTTGGCCTATGATTGGTTCTCGTCAGCGAAGGAGCCAGGAGGATTTGCTGACCGTCCAAGTGTCATTTAAAGGGCCGATTTCTGAAGCGCTCAGTTTACGTATTAAGTCAATCACATGATAATAAAAGAACAAAAAAATCTCCCGACCCCGACTCCCCCCCCCCTAAAAAATTTCTCCACTGATCTACACGATTCACGTAGGTCACCCTTTTTGACTTCAAAACGGCGAATTTCGCCGAAAGGTGAGAGATTTTCATGCCTGAACACCATATGCGGACTCCTGACTATGTATCAATTTGTGTAGATGACAAATACTTCCTGCTTGTGGATTTATCCGTAACAAAACAATCCCATGGTCAATCCCTGATCCCTGGATCCAGGATTTTAAACTGCTAACTCTGTCTAAAGGTAACAGCACTGCATAAAGGAACATAGTTTACTTTATTAAACACGAGTAAACCTACAAAAACCCAAACTGTAAAATCACGTTGCTTTTCACATATAGTAGAGGCTCAGAGGTCACTGAATTATATCCAAATTAGCAGGAAATAGACCACAGAAAGGCTAAACAACCTGTTGTGAGCATGTTGTTTTCTCTATACTGAGCCCTGCTGATCGTGGCTGCACTACGCTGCTGATACGCTCCAAATATGCATCCTGTTTGCGATAAACAGTGCTGCTCCACGGAGCAAATAAGCAACGCAGACAAAACGCGCTCAATACAGATCCTGTATGTTTTCAGCTTTAGAGTGGCTGCAGGAAAGCCATCGAACGGCACAGGAACAATGGATACAGAGAGTGACAAATACAATGAACATAGGCTTACGTGAAGGCTAGGAATGGGCATTTTAAGAAAGTCTCTTGATCGATTAATAATGTAAATTAACAATCAATCATCGATTTGATTGGGTTTTTTTATGGTATTGGCAGAAAATAAGCAAATAATGGATCGTCCCCCCCTCAGGCTGCGCGCTACATGCTCAATTGCGCTTCCTACCTGCCCGGCTACCATAATAAGTACTGTTTATTTCTCATTCATGAAACGCTCAATTCAGGGACATTTCTGAGGACATCTTTAGCTGGAGACAGGTCATCAAAAACGGGGACTGTCCTCTGAAATTGGGGATGTCTGGTCACCCTACAGATCCTCCTTGCTAGCAAGGAGCTGATGGTAGGTTAAGATGAGAGTACTCTGAGGACTCATTAACCTCAGTCGAACGTATGTGCTTCAACTGGTCCATCATTAGGGTCATTGTCGTGTTGTACTTGTACATCGCATCGCAGTGTTTGCAGCAAACCTCATCATTTTTCCCATCAAGATGGTCCCATTTCTGGCTTTTCCTATGTTTTTTTTTCCGACTTCTACAGAAGTCTCTGTATTACTACTTGTAAAATGTCAAAATCCTTCTGCACAGTGATAGTCACTGCATTGCTTCAACACACACACACTGGCTGGAGAAAGAGGGTATCCCTCCCGATCAGCAGAGGTTGACATTTGAAGGAAAACAGCTGAAAGATGGACACACGCAGTCAGCCATTCTTAATAATGTTAGATTGATCAAAATAGAATAGATGTGAGTTCAAAAAAAAAAAAACATCCTGTGACTCACTGAGTAACTACTTCATTCTTTCTTGCAGAGGCCCTACCCACTTTGATCCTGCACTTTACATTTTAGAGGCCTTTTGTATGCTGCTGTCAATCTTGTTCTATGATTTGTCACAAATGTGATTATTGGGAGACTGTTGTTATTGTGGGCCATGTTGGGTGTCATATGATGGGTTATCCTGGATCCCACCCCTAAAAGCCACCTCTTCAAAAAGAACCAGTTTCCAAGTATGCCAGGTTTTGGATGTTCCTTGGTTCTATGGGCAGATACAGCTGAGTGTCATCGGCGTAGCGATGAAATATTGTGTCTCTGTATCATGTGATTGAGCAGCAGCATATACTCCACAACTTATTTCATAGAGTGAAGCATGCTCTCCGATTAACATGTTAAATCTTTGGTTTGTTCAATGATAAAATCATTTAAAAAAAACAAGCTGTGACAAGCTGCATATTTTCAAGGCTCATAAACAATGATATGGATCTGTCCTTAAAAGGGTGTACACTGCAGGGCGCTTGATGTAATTTATAAAGCTCTGCTGAGAGGTATTTTTGATGCTGATGCAAATGGTTGAAAATACAAGCATTTAGACAAACTATGTGGGGAGCTACAACCAGTGCACCAAACCTACCAGTACAGAACTCTCAGGGCAAAAAAGCTCAAATCACAAACATGCAGACAGATATCCACATGAAACCTTACCCTTCGCAGCTGGTTGGTGAAGAACAATGTCTGTAGCAGGCTGTTCATATAGCAGGTAGCTCCCTGGTTCTTCAGACCAACATAGCCTGTGTGTTTCTTAGAGTCCCAGCTAGTTTAGAGAAAGAGAGAGAAAACAGGTGTTTGTGCTTAGGTTTATGACACTAATATAAGAGGGAATGTGACCGCAAATGAAAACCTCAGGAAAAAAGAGAGAACCAAAAAAGAAAAAAAGAAAAAAAGGACATACGCCACTCCATGTGGAGCATCTGCCTGAACGTAGACTTCAAAGGTGACTTTGTCATCATCAATGAAGCCCCTCTCTGGATCGGTCACATCCTGAAAAACATAAAGCCAATAGAGTAAGTTAAATTCAAACTAATTTCTCACTTTAATGAAGTTCTCTATTAGTTTCTGTACTCACGCTCCAGGACATGAAGTTTGAGAAGCCCCAGTCGTTCTCTTTGTGAAAGAACAGGTGACTGATCCTTCGGCTGAAAGACTTCTCGTCATCTTTGTAGTTGATGATCTTAAGCATGGCCTGCGCATGGCACGACCATGACCTGAAAGAGCAGTATCCAGAAACTTATTTTTTATATTTATATTAGATAATATTGTAATTGGAAAAAAAATTGTCATTGTTAGCCAGTAACAAATAGTTTACAGACAGCCACCACCCTGAAATACAATGCAAAACATGAAGCATCAAGGTGGTAGTCACAGCGAGTGATGGGACTTTTGTTGTTTTGAGAGTGCTTTATAAAGAAACTTGGATTGGTTTGGACTGAAATGCTAGTTGCACACTCACAGGTTTTTTAAGTTAATAAAGAAGTCAGGAAGAACATTATGTGATTTGCAAAGATATTTTCACCCTGACATGAAATAATCTTTTGGTGTAAAAAGTAAAACACCATCAACTGTGACTCAATGTTATAAAACACGGAAAAGTGGGCATGTGTGGGAGGGAAGCAATTTATACAGGCTCTGTTTTCTCCATGTTTTATCACATGTCCTGAACTATTAGTTCATTAGTTCACAACTTTTACTTGAAAAATTATCATATCAGAAGCTACTCATACATGATAAGTTTTATCTTTAATAACATATTTTTTAATCAACAATTAGTGTATGTGCACCCAAACCATTAAAAGACAGTTTAGGTGTGTACCCCCCATTCCATTCAGAAACCTACGTTGAGTCTGACTCGGCGTTACACTGCAGGAAAAAGCCTACACTCTTCTGGTGTGGCCGGTCTGGATAGAAGCGCGGCATCACCATTATCTTCCATGGGAGGTTTCGGACAAAGCAGGACGGGCTGAGCACTGACTCACTCAGACGGCTGAAACGCTCAACAACAAAGCGGAAAGTGGCCTCTGACCGCCAACTAGTGTCTGTGAAGCAGATAGGAGGCTTGTTAGATGGTAAATGGATTTTCAGTTCTGTTAATAAGTCTCAAACAAATGAAACCAAGCTGTTTTCAGGATAAAAGTTTCTTCTCACCATCCTCCATGTCTTCCTCTGTGTTGTTGTGTCCGTCTGCCATGGCCACATTACCATTTATCACTGGGTTGGCTGGGATTCTTGGAGGGTCATCTGTGTCCCCAGCTGTAAGATTAAAGTAACCATGTGATAAAACTTGTGAATAGCAGAGTAGGCATTTATTTCTTTAACAGTAACCATGCCGAAGTCTCTACATTGCTAACTGTGTGCCCCCAATGTGTCAAAGTCGGTGGGTCAACTTAAAAAAATCCATAAAGCCCCTGTTGTCTATATTCTTATATGTGTAAAAGGCTAGTGGCCTCTACACTGCAGGATTTCCACAATTGTTTCAAAGTAAAGGTTTTCCCCAAATAGACACTCTTAATATTTTTCTTATCTTTGAACTGCTTTATTTCCAATAAATCTGCATTCATATATATTTGATGTGTTTCACCCAAATACTTTTTCTACTGTTGATTCAGTCATTGAATTTCCCTTTAGGAATCAATAAAATTCTTCTTCTACTTCACTGACAACATGAAGGCAGATAAACACCAAACTAAATAAAGGTATACATCATCATCAGACAGCAGGAAAGACTGATATTTTTGATAACGGTCTGGGGCTAAAAGCAACCAAATTCCTCTTCATCTGTGCAAAAATGTTATGCAGCACATACTTTCTCCCTCTATTTGTCACACGTCTCAACACACAGCGATTCTTCCTTTGCCCTTGCATACTTTTTTTGTGGAAAAGCCCTGCTGAGACAGCATGACAACTCCTCCTTCCCAGTCTGGATGTTAGAGTGAGGAGCACAGAAACAGAATGTGTGTGCGTGGGTATGTATGAGTGCGTGTATATTACAGACCATGCAACATTACAGTAGGCTGTGTAATTGTGGACACAATGCAGGATTAAGCCACAAGTCATTGCTCAAACAGGACAAACTCAAGAGCAGACCTATCCTCCTGGCTGCATAATGAGGCAGCTCGCTGCTCACTTTCATCTATCAGAATGTGCTGATAGCAGGAACAGAGGAGCTCTAAGTAGACTACAGGGACTGAGTGAAATCTGTATGAGTCTTGTGATGATGGTGATGATGCAGCAGAAGCCAGACGCGATAAAACAGTGTGGCTTCATGTCTTTAAATGTGTCCACCTGTCTCTTGCACTGCATTTCATGTGTATTTGTGTCTCCTATCTTCCCTCACATTCACAGAAGCAGCAGTGTCGCTGTGTCTTCCAGGTAACTTGACCGACAGAATCTTTCGGGACAGTGACCTTGTTTCCCCAAGTGGATTACAACTGCTAATGGAGTCTGTCAGTCAACTCCATGACAACTTCTTGTCCCGCACAATGTCCACAGATCCTGAAGCCTCTCGGAAATTCATACTACAGGATATTTTTAATATTTTACAAAAAAAGTTACAAAGGCTTTGTAGAGCCCTCTGTTGCTTTATGACACAAGTGTTTCAAGGAGAAAGCTGTAAGCGTCTGAATAATCTGATTCATTACTTATGACTATATAGTTTCAAAAAGCCTCATAGTGATTAACAAGTATCCAGAGAAGTACTTAATCTTACCTCTTTTAGGACAGAAAAATTTGTTTCCAAATTTAATCATGTCAGCAAGACTTTTCTCCTCTGCTGCAACAGTGTACTTGTAAACAAAACTCCAGATGAACCTTCAGCAAAGAGCTTATGACAGCCCAGCTGATCCTGCACTGATGATTTAGCACTAAGATACTGACATGCTTTTTAATGATTCAATTGAAGTTTGTCGAATTTTTCTACCTTTTAAGACAGTTTTAAGTACAACTACTCTAAAACAATTTTATCAATTACATAAAAAATGACCTTAAACAATATATGTGTGTGTTGAAATAAGCTGTTCATTACTTAGAATTTATTCCAGTCTCCTAGTCTTGTCTCATCAGCCTTGGGGATCCAAATGTAGTATGAGCTAATGTTAGTTTCTGATTCATTCCATAACTCCCTTCCTTACGTTGTTTTAACATGCAAAAATAAGTTTGATTGAGTATCAACAAAAGCCAGGCATCCACTGTAGCAGCTAAAAAGATAAATAAGTGAAATCTGGGGATCGGTGAGGGATAATGCGAGTGTACTGTACTGTACTGGACTCTGATATGAGAGGGAAAGCATTCAGTGTTGCTAACCACAGCCATACAAAAATTTGGATAGCTTATTATTGTTGACTTGTTTATTCTGTCCTTCTGAGGCTGCAGTGCAATGGGGGGTGGGGGGCAGCAAAGGGTGATTGCTTTCAAATATGAAGTATGAAAATGGATCACCAAAAATGACAACAAATGTCATCCTCTGCAGTTTCTGCTTGCTGCGGTTTAAAATGACACAAGATAAACTTGGTAATGGTGCAGCAGAATAACAGACACACGGGGTAAGCAAAATGATAATAAAAACACCGGGACCAAATGACGCAGTGATGCTGAGGGCTCCATCCAGCCTCCACTCTGCCCAGGAGTTGACATTGGGAAATATATTACTGTAGGATAGGTAATATTGTTGAATGACGCCAGTTTAGAGGAGAGAGGTGGCCCTGTCCCAAAACTGCCAAACAAAAACACTGATCATTAAAAATGGCGAGCTCCATGCCGTTTGGTCCTCCATACAATGAAGCAGCAAATCCCCGCGCTGCTCCTGTGCGGGCCTGGCTTACCGCAGCAGCGACTACAGTCTCTCACCAGCAGCGCGCACACGGTTAATACACCACAACTAAAGGTTATAATTTACAGAACCTTCTCCACTGAAGTACATTTCACATTCACATTGACAACTGATCGAAAGTAAGGACTAAATTTATTACAGCACATTCAACTTAGCATATCACGATTGACGCATCTGCGTTAGCTTTAGCTATCTAGCTGTCCAGCGAGCACTTGCCACAGACTCATCGGCAGGCCGCTAGCTGGAATCACGGGTACCGGCTAACATGCTACAATCAGTGTCTTAAGAAATATATAAAACTTGCAGAGTATAGACGTTTTACGTAAAAAACGAAACAAAAACAATTTTAATTATTAAAAAGTTCTGAACTACGCGAGGTAGATATTCATGGCCTAACATTCGAGCAAAAGCCCAGAATCGACCGATGCAAAATACAAGCCACCATTTTGGAACTCCACACACCCCCTCCGAGAGCGCGAGCCGATGAGCTAACTAGCCTGCTAGCTAGCAAATGAACGTCTGAGAGCGCGACTGAGGGTTAGATCACTAGCTCCAAATTAGCTGCCCGCTACTCATGTCAAAAACGTTCACCACATAATTTAACACATTAACGAGAGGGGGATTCTTTTCACTGCTTATGTAATGCAATTCTGCAGCAAGCACTTTGAACTAAAGCGTTGTGATTTGACATAGGATCGGAACTATTTGAACCTGCAGTCTACCGATTCTGTCAGTTTGGAGGCCTGCACTTGGTGGCATCAGACACGATGCTAACACGCAATGTTTTTAATGCTTGTACTGGTAAAAATCCAGTTCAAAGGCGACTGAATCTGACATCCTGGAGAAAACTGCAACGTTTTCACCACACTACCAGGAAGCTGACTTGGACATGACACGCGCAGGTGTTGTTACACGTCAAACGCACCCAAAACGCATTCATGTCATTTTTTCCAGATTAATACTCCTGGACAGGTTCCATGTTTATTACCACACTGTTTACAAACATGAAAACAAGGTTTGCCTGAGCTGTATGATGATTATTTACAGAAATGATCTTCCAATGCATTAGCAAAAAGTGACAACATAAAAAACAGACAGATACACAGACACCCTAATGAATGATTTTTGAAGTTAATATCCAGTCTTGTTAAAGAAAAGCTAATTTTGGTTATCGAAAAGCAATGTCATCTTGACGGTATACGGAATAAATCCAATCTTCATTCGCTTAAAACGCAAAATGAGGTCAGCTTCTCAGAAGTGCTGCAACGGACGCACAATCAGCAAAAATGCAGCCGGCTATCCTGGCTAGCTTGGGCCTTTATGTTTACTGTGAAGATGAGCGCAGCCTGCTAAAAGACAACTTCATTCATATCTTACGCACAAGTTCAAATATGAAAAAGAGGCTGCAAAACCCATTTTCTGCTTTCTACTGGAAAGTTCTTACCTTCCATCTCCATATCCTCCGGTTCGCTGAGCTGCTGCTCGCCGGCTTTCTGTTGCTGCTGCTGCGTGTGGTGATGATGGTGGTTCATGTTCGCAGCTGTTGTTGTGGTGGTCGTGATGCGGGGCTCCTTGCTATCTATGTTACCCTCGACCTTGTCCAGGGTCGCTTCGTTAGGGAGTTGGGTTCTGGACTGCTGGTGAGGTGTGGTAGGATGCGGAGGTGGGGTGGACAGGTCGAGCCTTGGCGGCCGGGCCTGCTCTGTTGCGACCTCGGCCTTGTCCGCTGTCAGCGCCGGGGAGTGAGGAGGGGAGGTCGGCGGGGGAGCGGGTAGAGAAACGCGGACGTATTTGCTCGCTATTCGCCCAATCTCGGCGCCGTTGGTGGGTGCGAGTCGCTGTCTGGCTGCAGGGGATGGGATGGTAGGACTGGGGCCCCGAGGGGGGAGGCCCGCTGTAATGAGCTAAATTAATCGGGCTTCACCCCGGGAATTGTGGGGTAACGGGAACTAGTAAGATAACGCACAGCACGACCTGCACCTTAAGGAACAAAAACCCTGTTTATAGCCAACACCAAGCTACCTGACACTCGGCAGCCAACTCGTGATATAGGTACAACAACAATGAAAACAAAAGCTCATTTGATAATGACACACATTCAACAACTTTGTCTACGATATCCCCAGTCCGTATGCTCCTCCGATTGTCCCTCGTCTGGGGGCGAGCGGAGAAAGAAGCTATCCATTCAAAGCCGTTAGGAACCCTGAAGAGCACTAACGTTGATGTGGATTTGGAAGTTCGCGAAGATGAGAGCGGCCACGGCCTGACATAAAACAATCCTCCGAACCGACCCTAACACGATAAACGACAAAATGCGGCACCTCGGTGCATTCCAGGCTAGCCTCTTGCTTCTGATGAGGAAGGTGCCCGGTCACACGACGTTAGCCTGAGCAGTGTAGCTCTCAACCCGCTCCTCCCGTACGGCTTCAGATGTGTTCAGTCTGAGCTAAATCTCAAAATGGCGGACGCGCTCTTCTCTGTAATGTCACATCCGCATGGAGATCCAAACACAGGCCCATCCCCGGCCATGATTACGTCCATGATAAATGATCGGGATCAAGCATATGATACAGGGGGAATGAAATATAATAATGAATTAAATGTTGATCTACAAAAAAACAAACAAAAAAAACAAACATCAACGACAACATCCGATATGACAACACTAAAGGCCAGTCACACCGCAGTGGCAGTAGATAAAACAAGAGCCCACAACCACAACACGGTTTTAGGACAATAACATTATAAACGAGCAGTATATTGGGTAATTTGTTAAGGGGGGCTATATTTACGAGCAGGACACTTTCTTTAAATAGAAGTAGAGAATCGACTCTAAGCCGTTAAAAGCAGGTGTCGAATTTGCGAAGCAAAAAATAGCGGTTGTCATAAAATAAATGTACTATAATAAAATGATGATTTTATATTGCTGGCTGTTGTCAAAAGACCTACAAACAACGTGAACCCACACGTGACTTTATATCCACTGCATGATTATTAAGAAGTGTCTGAAAACAGCACATTGAAAGTTGATTGAAAGACACATTTACAGGTGCGCGGGGGTGGGGGTTACTTCCCCAACTTCGTAAAGCTTAAGCTCTACTGACGTTTAAGGGCTAATTACGTTTCAAGACAACTTTTTTTTGTATCAAAAATCCTTTCATTCGAAATTATGATGATTTAGAAAATGACATTCAACGATATTTTGCTGATCCACTCACAAATAATAATAATAAAAACACTGAGGATCTTCCACTTGGTAGTCGACGGCCTTTCCCATCTCGCTGCAGGACAGAGAGATTCAGAGGATGTTTTGTTCCCACAGACTTTGTATTTCTTTTGTAGATGAAATGAGACATGAGCCTTCAGACAATTGAATTTCCCTTGGGGGATCAGTAAAGTTCTTCTTCTTCCTCTTTTCTTCTCAATGAAAACAATAACAGCCATAATTATAATAACAGCAATAATAATATGAAAATTATCATCATTTTATAGTTATTATAGTTATTGCTGTTTTTATTAAAGTGTTTACTAATTTCTATTATAAGTTTGGGTTTATTTAGGTTTCTAAAGTGACCATTTAAGATAAGACATAGATCACCAAAAGGAAATTCAATATATTTCAATACATCTGCACTACTGAAACCCCATCATCTGTAGAGGCAACGGGCATCTATGTGATTGTGGGTCAATAGCACCATCCAGTGGAGAACGTTAAAAAAAAAGACATAGTTTCAAAATGGTTTAAAACGGGAACAGATTACCACTTTTTAATATCTGTCGTCATTAAGAAAATTTGTTTGAGCGGCTTCGTTTTTAAAAAAAATAAATAGCATCTGAGACAAGTATGAACATGTATTAACCCTATAGAGTAAATCCTATAGTTCCCCTTTGAAAGAGAGAAAGCTGGTTTATGAAAAACACATTTTTATGTTATTATATATCTATATATAATTCTAATTTTATTTTAGAGCCGTTCATGTTACAAAGCATTTTCACGACAAAACTTGCACTTTCTAGCTAGCTTTAGTAACATTGAATCTTTCATGTGTTTCCTTTGTGTCAATACAGTGACTGACGTGTGTGATAACCAATTAAAATCTGAAAATAGATCGGTAAGCCACCCTGCAGTGTCTTTTTTGCCCATCATTGTTGACTACTCGTGCAATGGGCGGGATTAAGCGCACAGCAGGGTAGTATGAGGAGTATATATCCGGACGTCGGCGGCTAGGAAAAACAGTTAGCTAAGCCGACTGTCACAGATGTCGAGAAATACCAGCGTTGCGTTTTAGTACGAAATAATAAAATACCACCAGTATTCATGACTTCTCTCACATAATTCGTCAAACGCTATACCTTTAAACTCATTTTACACACCAACAGCGAGTTTTCATCGACTTTGGTGCACTAAATGGAGGACAAGAAGGAAGACGGCGACTCGGAGATACAGGAACACGGACCCGAGCACTGGTTCTCAAAATGGGAGCGGCAGTGTTTGGCCGAAGCGGAGCAGAGGGAACCAACTGAGGAGGAGGCCGACAACGATCAGGATAAACTGTGGCATCTTTTCCAAAACTGTGCCACTGCTGTGGCCCAGTTATACAAAGGTTCAAACCCGCGCTCTGATTATGTTAGTCTGAGGACTCACTCCTAGAGTACATTTGTCCTGATCAGATACCGGACAACCTACCGAGCCGAACCCGGAGCTGCTGTTAGCGGCGGTATCAGTGGGATGCTAACTAGCTAGCTAGTTAGCTACCTCGCTGGCCAGTACTGGGCAACGTTTACAGCTGATTTTGCAATGCTAAATTTAGCTAGCCTATGCTATCAAGCAAAAATAGTAATGAAGTCGAATTTCTTGTAATGCAGTCTTTTCGACTGGCAATCAACCATTGTTTTACTGAGAGAAAAAGACAACAGGTCCAAGCGTCGTTGATAAAAGCTTGTTGACACAAAGTTAGACAGCTGATGATCGCTACCCTGACGTTAGCCTGGCTAGTTACAAAATGGCGATGGTAACAACAATCGTAGCTACGCGACATTCCCAGATGACAGTCTGCTGTGTGCTGTCAGTGTTACCATCTGTTATACTGGATACCATCAGCTGCTGAAAAGTGCCAACAACATGTAAAGTTAACGAAACAAAGGCGTACCCTGTTCTTAAACTCGCAGTTTGCTGCTGAGTTTGCAGATAGCCAGGCAGTGAGAGCTTTTCTTATTATCACAAAATGGCGAGGACAGTATTTGTTGGTCGAGAAAATATCGGTTTGTCTATATTCTACTCTGATCGCGTAGTTTTAGACTGAATAAATCCCGGTACAAACAGGCGAAGCCCGGCTTCTGTATATGCTTCTTATTTTGCCTGGGTGTTTTCCATGGCTTAGCAACTTTCTTGCTGAGGGGGCAATTAAGTTGTGCTTCTTTGCTAAACAAGCTGCTACCAAGTTGGCCATCTAGCGCCGGAGGACAGTTATTTATATGCCCAACTATGTCCATTGAACTGCAGATACGAGACAAAACGGCGAAAGAAAATTCACTTTAGTCATTTAATTATTTAGCTGATTTACCTTTCAGGTGTTGAGTTGTCCTTCAGTCACATTAATCATGGGTGCTTGGTGTTAAATAGCGACAGCATTATGTACAGACACTAAATATATTTCCTCTTTCCTTCCACAGACAGAGTTTGTCATCAGCAGGGCCTTTCATTGTGGGTACCATTTCAGAACTCTGCCACAGCAGTAACTAACCTCTACAAAGGTATTTCACCATATTCATCTCCACACTTTCTTTGTGCCTTTGAGCAAGTGGTATTTGATCTGACAACTTGTGGGCCTGTCGCTGTTATTGCGCTTTGTCCTGTCAATGTAAACTTCTGGCTGTCATTAGACTTATGGACATGTTCCTGATCAATACATTCACCTGATGTAGTAAATACAGACCTGGTCATGATCACTCTTATCTGTAATGAATCAATCGGTTTTTCCCAAGGGGGTTGTAGGTTCTTGTCAGTCTGTAAGGGAGGGAGAAAATGGCTCAGTTTCTAAACTTTCACTATCTGGAAGGATGTCCATTGTGAATACTTGGCCAGTCTAATGCAAATCAGTACTACAGCTCTACCATAAATGCTCCAGGAAGTTCCTTATGTTCATTATTGAAGACATATTGGCAAATGGAGTGCTGTTCTGGAGCATGTGATACTGAAGGCGTTTTGTTCATTTCATTGGCAAACTAAAAGGGAGCAAATCATCAGCAATCCCTTTCAATAGAAAACACTCCAGCACACCACCAACTCCTAGCAAAACTTCAGCAATTACTTCTAATAAACAGTTCTTACCTGTCTGAGCATTTCAGCAAAAAATACTGACAGAGAAGCTTCATTGAGGTAGAATCTCTGGTAGAGCTATTGTGAGTATTTCTGGTGCATGTTCTTTTAGACCAAGGGTACAATACTTGCTCTGATCTTTGAGATGATTATGATGAAGGATGAAGGATTTGTATTCTCATTGAGTTGTCCACTATCACAGAGAGTGTAGAGGCACATCAAAGAAGCTTTGACCGGGGCCTCCAGATAGGACACCAACGACGCAATAAAGTGAGTCGATATCCTTTGTTGCCTTTTATGAGGCACCTCTATTTTGTGCTTAGACTGATCATGTCATCAGACATCCCAGTCATATGTCCTGACAGTTAAGAATGAGGTGCTTATATATGACAACTTTTAGGTGAAAGAAAGTGTGATGTGTCAGGGTTCTTTTAAACAAAAGCCAGCAAATTTCCATTAGCTGATGGATCACTCTTGTTTGGATTACAGGACATGTTGGCCTGGGTGAAAAAGCGTCGGAGAACCATCCGGAGGGAGGATCTTATCAGTTTCCTCTGCGGCAAAGCACCACCACACAGGAGTAGCAGGGCCAGCACCCGGCTGACTATGGTGGCCCCAAGCCGGGCTAACTCACCAGCTGAAACTGGTTCCTCTGTGGAGGCAGACCTTCAGCCTTTCAGGGAGGCCATAGCTCTGCACGGTAAGAGTATTTGAGGCAAATCTGACAAATGATTGATTCATCCCATGGGGTCATGTGATGTAGCATCATAAAACGTGGTACTGCTGGTTTATGAAGTGGGTGTATAGAGCCACTGAGGCTGAATATGCGCTGTTTTAAGAATAAGAAGAACTTTCTTAATCCCCGAAGGGAAATTCAATTGTCTGTTGTCTCACTTGATTTGTCTCTAAAAGTTATCTACTATTTACACAAGAGTTATAAAGCCTGATGGCTGTCAGTACAAAAGATCTTCTGAATCTTTCTGTCCTGCAGCAAAGTCATTATTGGGCATGCTAACATGGGGAAGCTCGCTGCTTGGTCAAAAGAGCTAGACTTTGCCAATAAATCACAGATTCTCAGTTTGAAATATCATCCGGATTGTTCACTTAAGTGCTAATTCACTGTGCTGGGGATCAACAGAATTGCGATGCTGTCCCAGCACTGAACTACAGCAGAATATACTGCTCACTAAATGTGTTTTTGAGTGTGTGTCATTCCTGTGCTGAGTTGTTGTACTCACAGGTGTCCCAGAGATAAGGGTGTGTGGTGCACGGGTGTGTTGGTATTAGCAAATGACAGAAGAGAGCCTCACTTAGCTGTGTGTGTGCGCGCATGTGTGCGTATGTGTTTACAAGTACAATCATCTCACTTCACTAGCAGTTTTTCTAATTACATCATTGTATGTTTGCAGATGCAGCTGTGCAGATCAGTCATGTATGTAAAGAGCAATGTATTGACATTTCTGTTGTGCTGTTAGCACCATCAAACGTTTTAGATTATCTAAAGGTCTCCAGGTTCCAAAAGGGGCCATTTTAGGGAGGAGCTTAGGTCATGTCAGGTTGAATGATGTGAGGCATTTGGTGGTTGAAGTTACAGACAAAAGTTCAGTGTATGTCAGGGGCTTTCAGTTATCTCTTCTCTCAGTTATAAGAAACATCACTATTAGTCTGTATTTAGACTGACGTGAACAAAGTGTGTTTTTGTCTCACTGCTTTGAAATCCTCTCAGGTTGGAGATGGAATTGCTTGTTGATAGTCTGTTACATTGTGGTGTGAAGTCACAGACACTAATGCCAAAAGAAATCCCACCACATACATCAACTTTTTAAAACCATCCCTTTGATTCATTTGGACTCGAATTATATAACCAAATGATGGCTCATGTCTTCTCATAGGCTATTTAAATTGATAATTTTTTTGAAAAACATCTCAACAATGCAGTTCTTCGAAGGCTTGAACCTGACCCCTGGGGTTCTCAGAAATCCAAATGAAGACAGTAACGGACCCTGACCTAACCATCTCAGTGACTTTTCCAAAATTAAAGCTGCTTACCTGCTTTGCCCTTCCATTCATTCGGAGGATATCTCACAAGGCCACCAATATCAATTACACTTTACTTCTTAGTTTCATGTCAGACATACAGAACACAATTTTTAGCAGTCTCTTTTGGGTTTTAATTCAACAAAATCAGAAGAAAAAAACTCAGTTTTTATAGTTGATCAGTGTTATTCAATTCATAAAGTTAATTGACAGTGTCTATTGACTTTTAGTTTTAGTGTTGGTTGTACACAGTAGAGGGTAATGAAGCATCTGAAAATACCGGAAGAAGTGACTTCACTTGTAGCAAAATACCAGCATAGCAACTTGTCACAAGTTGCTATTAGAGAGTACAAAGTCTCTGTCCAAGCAGTTGGCTTGCCTCACATCAGAATCACTGACTGATATGGTAAAAAAAAAAAAAACTCAACTTGATGTTTGTGCCAAGTATATCTCTGTCTTGTTTGAGTTCTTCAGTATTGGTTTTCCTTGTCGAGGTCATTGAGCTGGTTTAAAGCGAGTCTGTTCATCTCTTGATTCTTTTGCCAGTGACACTCTTCCTCTCCATCCTGCCTTTTCTCTCTCAGGTCTGAGTGGAGCCATGGCGAGTATCAGTGTACGGTCTGGTACTCCAGGATCACCAACACATGTGAGCGGGAGCAGCAGTAATGGAGGCAGTACAGGTGGCAGTGGCTCCTCTGGCTCTGGGCCAGTGTGCCGCAACAGGCGTAATGGGCTCCAAGATGTCGACCTGAACACTTTCATCTCAGAGGAAATGGCCCTGCATCTGGACTCTTCAGGCTCTGCCTCTTCTGGAGGGGGAGGAACCAGGAAACGAAACTCCACCCAGTGTAGTGATGTCATCACAGACTCCCCCACGCACAAGCGCAACAGGATGATCTGATCTGCTGCCTGCCTATGTGCATGAGGGGGTGTGGGGTAGGGAGGGGGCCTTGGAAGCCAAGGCTAGGAAAAGGGGGATGGACAGGCTTATGTGGGGCAGATGTGTGCAGGACCAGACAGACACTTGACTGTGCAGAAGACCCCCAGCTGACAACACAAGCAGGGACTGAAGGTCTGTGTTCACTCTTTTGAGACGTTGAACCAGTTCTGTTCCTTATCTCCTGTACAACGTCATTATGAATCACTGACCTGCAATCAAAACACTCAAAGAGTGTGTGTGTGTGTGTGTGTGTGTGTGTGTGTGTGTGTGTGTGTGTGTGTGTGTGTGTGTGTGTGTGTGTGTGTGTGTGCATGCGTGTGTGTGTGCGTGCGTGTGTGTGTGTGTGTGTGCGCGTGTGTTTGTTTGGGAGAAGGGGTGTGAATCCAGCACCTCTGCCCTACAGGAGGCCGAAGGGAGTCACAACTCATTCTAGGATGCATCAGTTCTCAAAGGGGTGCAGATGCAGAGTGCTGCTTGACAAGTATAAGCCACTTGATTTCTGACACATTAGTGCTCTTCCCTTCCTTACCTTAACCTCACCCATCCTCATCCACCACCTTAATAAGGAAGTGAGGGCCATGATCAAATTGTCTCACTCAGAGAATCTAGTTTCTCGCCAAATATTGATTCCCACTCTGTCAGACAACCACATGCCTCTTTTTTCTGTTACTTTGTCATTG